CGAGCAATTATTAGAGGAGATATGACAAAATAACCGATTCTGCTAAAATACATGTGTTTAAATGGGAAATGCCGCCAGATGACGTCATAAGGCGGCGCATTTTCTCACTTTTAAATCAATTTTTCTCCAATTTCCCGTGTCAGAAAAAAATTATGAAAAATATTGCGAACTCAGCTCATTAGGCACTTTCAGATGAAGCAATAAAAAAATTGCGTGCAAATTCTCCATTATTGTCACGGCGCGAAAATAAGACGATCTCATCTCGAAAACTACGAGATAAAAATACGAGCATCGCGATATATTCCGCAAGGACACATTGAGAGGAAGCGAGAGATGACACCGACAATCCCTTCAGATGTGATGATACTTTCTTCCCTCCTAACCACCACCCCCCCCCCCTTAAGGGCTACAAGGGCTGTACTATCATGCCCAGGAAGAACGTTGTATGAGCTTTCATGCGTGGCCAAATTTCCTGTGACAACGAGGGGATTTCCCGGAAAACTCGTGGGACTTTTTCCTCAAATTTTAAGTGAATTTCGTTCAGAGTTAGATCCGAAAATTTCAGAAAAAATATTCATGGAATTCCTCCAAAACAATTTTATCAGGGCAAACTTGGCAACATTTGAATCGGGGTTGCCACGGAATTTAAAAAATAAAATCCCCTGACACATTTTGGCGAAATTCCCTGACAACTGAAGATGTGACGGACGGTTAAGAAGGCATAATTGAAAATAGTTTTCCGGCAGAATTTGCTGTTCGAAACCTCAAACCCATTCTAGAGAGCAAATGGACTGCATTTTACAATTTGGAGCTATAAATTCTAACTCATCTGAAAAAAAACTTAGGAGCATAGGAAAACTAATGGCACATACGTTGTTTTTAAACCGGGCCGAAATTTATAGCTCTTAATTGCAAAGTGTAGTCCAAATAGAGGTGATTTAACGAATTTTCCCTGACATTTTCGTCATTTCCCCTGACTGCGGCAACCCTGTTGAATGTTCATACGTCTTTTTTCCTCAGCACGGCCGTGTGTTCCGTCTAACCCGCCGATCACTTCCGGTCTTATATCCGATTTGCGAAAATGCGTGACATTTGATGCCCGGAGGCTGCAGCCCCCCCCCCCCCCCCCCCCCCCCCCCCCCCNCGTGATCCGGGTCTGTCAAGCGGGCCTCTTCGGGTCAATGACCTCGCGACTTAACGCACGCAAAAAATAGCACCAATCCCTGCGATGCCAATAGGTGTGGTTGTCGCAAAAGGAAGAAAAAGAAAGAAAAACACGAGGAAAAGCGTCAACTATGCGTAGGCTTCGTTTTTTCGAAAAAAACATATGTCGTCACCTTCCGGCCAAAGTATCGCAAGCGCCATGCGAAGTTTAAAAATTTCCGCCGCCAATTTATTTTTTTACAGAGAAATTGTTGGTAAAAGAGCCTCGCCAAAAAGTGGTGTTTTTTAGCCCCTTTTTTTATACCCGAGTTGGTCAACGGGACAAGGCTCAAATGAAAGCCTATGATAAGGCAAACTTCCATGCAAAGTTTCAACCTGAAGTGAAACCTCGTTTAGGCTGTACAGCGTTGCCAATTTTCCAGTTTCATGTGCTAAAATCAAGGATATTGGACTATTAGTCCGGTGCATAAGTAGACTTGTGCACCCGAGTTGGTCAACGAGACAAGGCTCAAACGAAAGCTTATGGTAAGGCAAACTTCCAGGAAAAGTTTCAACTTGAAGTGAAACCTCGTTTAGGCTGTAAAGCGTCGCCAATTTTTCATTTTGATGCGCTATACTCAGGAAATACTGAATCATCATGGTTCAACAGACTAGTATACCCGAGTTGGTCAACGAGACAAAGCTCAAACGAAAGCTTATGGTAAGGCAAACTTCCATGCAAAGTTTCAACTTGAAGTGAAACCTCGCTTAGGCTGAACAGCGTTGCAAATTTTCCATTTTTATGCGCTATACTCAAGGAATACTGGATTCATAATGATTCAACAGACTAGTATACCCGAGTTGGTCAACGAGACAAGGCTCAAACGAAAGCCTATGGTAAGGCAAACTTCCAGGAAAAGTTTCAACTTGAAGTGAAACCTTGTTTAGGCTGTACAGCGTCGCCAATTTTTCATTTTTATCCGCTATACTCACGAAATACTGAATCATCATGGTTCATCATGGAAAATTGGCAACGCTGTACAGCCTAAACGAGGTTTCACTTCAAGTTGAAACTTTTCCTGGAAGTTTGCCTTACCATAAGCTTTCGTTTGAGTCTTGTCCCGTTGACCAACTCGGGTGTACTATTCTACTTACGCACCGGACTAATAGTCCAATATCCTTAATTTTAGCACATGAAACTTGAAAATTGGCAACGTTGTACAGCCTAAACGAGGGGTCACTTCAAGTTGGAACTTTGCATGGAAGTTTGCCTTACCATAAGCTTTCGTTTGAGCCTTGTCCTGTTGACCAACTCGGGTATAAAAAAAAAGGGGCTAAACTTGGCGAGGCTCTTTGTTTGAAAATTTCACTGAATTTCGTCGGCAGTACGAAGAAAATTCAGTGAAATTTTTGGACAGCTTCGTTGATCAATTTCTCAGTGAAAAAGTTAAATGACGGCGGAAATTTTGAAACGTCGCATGGCGCTTGTGGCCACTTTGGCCGGCGGGTGACGATGTGTAGAGCAGATTTGATGGATCACGTCAGTGGACTTGCGTAACATTAATTGGACAGCGTTGAGCAGAAAGGAACCAAGCAACATCGGCTATTGCCAAATTTAACTGGGCAATTCAATTTTTTACAAGAGAACGTTTAGGCGAATTCATTAAAAAATTTTAAGGAAATTACTTCGTAGTATGCAGAAAATTATCTGAAATTTGCACAAAAATCCGCACAACCAGTTGCATGTAAAAAATTAAATTTCTCAGTTAAATTTGGCAATAGCTGATGTCCCTTTCTGCTTAACGCAGCCCATTTCACTATCAGATTTTGAGATTCTGAGAGTTGATGAAAAATGAATGCTACCGCCCTGATAAAATCGGTTAATGAAGAGTAAGGCACACTGTATGAAACTGCTACAAACTACTGCAAGGTTGATTTGGACAGACACAGAGTTTAATAGAAACGCATCAAGGTGCGCCTTGGCAAAAAATGAGTGGAAGTTATTTTGAATTCGATCAGTCACAAATTTTCAAAGTTGAGAAAAAACATTTTCAACAAGAAAATCCTGCTTCTTTCTTCCAGAATTTTCCATAGCACTGACCTAACTTCCTTTCTTAGAGAAGCCCGGTCTTCTCTCCCAAGGCGTACACGTATCTCAAGTTCAAAAATTAAAAGAACTAATTAAGTATGCCTGCAGTTTAGTACTATCCCTCTAATGGAATTGTATTTTGCAACTAGGAGCTACAATTTCTGGCTCAGTTTCAGAGCAATGTGCGTACCATTAGTTTTTCTTAGCACAAGAGTTTTAGCGTATGAGCTAGAGATTGTAGTCCTTAATTGGAAAATGTAGTCTAATTGGACTGTACTTGGCAATTTGGAACTAAAAATTCTGACTCATCTGAAAAAACACTTAGGTGCGTAGGGAAACTAGTTGCACATACGTTGTTTTGAAACCGGGCCTAAATTTATAGTTCCAAATGCAAAATGCAGTCCAATTAGTCTGCTTGTTCACTGCATACTTTCACAGTTCTAGACTCTGTGAAGACAGTAGATGACCACTAGCTTAAAAAGTATTCTAGAGAATATGACCAACTTGGATAGGAGAGCTGCAAGTTACTTGCCTTAAGACAGTGTTCGAAACTCACAGGCACCAACGCGCCAAATGCGCCTAAGAAATCGGTCATGGCGCCTAAAAGATGAAGGCTCTGCGCCAACGTGGCCCCTAAAAATTCTCCCCCCCCCCTTCCCCCGGAGAAAAATCTTAATTTCTTCTATTGGGTGATTTTTCAAAATTTCTCCCAAGTTACAGCTACTTGTTCTGTAACTAAACATCTGAAGCTTCTAACTTTTCATTGAGTGCACCGTGATATTTAGACGAACAGTCAATTTGGTCCCTAAAAATCTAGCTTGATGAGTCGTATGGCTCCCGAAACTCAATGATGAGTTTTAAACACTGCTGTTAGAGCTTGCAGAACTACAGACATACTAAACTCACGATAATCATTGAAAACAACAATCCTTCAAAATTCCCAAAGTTGATTGAGCCTCAAATGACTTATATCGATTGGAGTTCATTAAAATTTCAATTTGGTATGAAAATTGTTCTTCAGTAGGGGCAACCCTATGTTACAGCGCTAGGTGACATACGACCCATCACAAGAAAAAAGATGATCCATAAAAAAAAACAAGATAAATACAAAACTAGAGACTCAAAGTATCCGTTTTGAGTCATTGATTTGTAAGAAACAAAGAATTGTGTCAGAATTCCATTATTTTACTTGCCTTATTCCAAAACCATGTGTAGTTATATCTTTCAGGTTAACCACAGACTAAATAGTAATTAAAATTCTAGAATTAGCATTGGAGGCTTGGAGATGAAAACTTAAAAAAAAAACTCGGGCCAACTTGGCTCATGATTTTAAGCAAGAGCAATAGTTTGTCCAAAAAATGAGATAAGTGTGTGATGGGGTCGCTTGTTACAGAAAACACAACCTAGCGAAAGCCCAATTGGAATCACAGTATGTATTGATATAAGTAGGTTATTAAAAAGCGCAGCCGGAACTATACCTGGACTGAGAATAGTCATTAACTTTGGTTGTTTGAGAGCTGGATTTCACAGAAATTTTTTTTTCAAGACGATTTGAAAAAGCAAAGCTGCATGAAACAGGTATAACTAACGCATGTGGAGGATAGAACTAAAGGAGCAAAGAAATGTGGAGAGATTAGGAGATCTTAGTCCATACAACAGTATGCGGTGTTTCAACATATTGGACGTATGCCAGGCGGCGAGTCAAGATACTTAAAAATAGCTCAACAGTGAGGAGTTGGGCTGAAATGATGTATTAATAAGATGGTACCTTTGAAGTTGAGAACCGTCATATAACTGGTAACGCCCGAAGGGACGAATCCGGTAAAGGCAAGAGAATGCAGTTTTGAAAAGTCGCTAATTTTGCTCGGGGAGAGCTCCGCAGAATGAACGCACGCAAGTATCCTGAAAAAACCAAGAGGCGAATTAGACACAAGAGTCACGACTGTAATGAGTTCAGGTTACACGGTTTCACAGGGAAAGTATGGAACAAATCGAGAATTTTCCTAGGCTACTTACTTTGAGACCGATGAACGACTCTCTCGGATACTCCGATCGATGGAAACACAAGAAAACTCGGGAAAGACTGAGGAAAATATTGAGAAAAACGGAAAATGCACTCGGAAAACAGTCACGTAACCAGAGAACACACAGGACAAAAGTGTTTCACAGCGACAGCCTAATGGCACCTAATCTAATGGCATGCAATGCCTACGTTCAACAGCGACTTATCGCGCTACTTCACCACAGCAAGCAACTTTGAACATGGAAAAAGTTCAGTTAGGCATCATCTCCTGTATCAAAACTGTGGCAGGGCTAAAATGACTCGTCGTTTTTTCAAGTAATAAAATTTTATGATTTTTGCAATTTTTTGAGCCATTTTATACTTCCAATGCACCTACGTTATGCTTGTTGCCTACTTCCAGGCTAACCGAGATTTGCGAGGTGTGATGTCTTTCTAAAACAACTCTTTGTTATTGTTATTTTGAGGTTATAACTTGAAAGATATATTGCCATTACTTCAAAGTTCTAACTTTAGATATTCTGAGTGGTTACACAACGTGGTTCAGTTTTTTAATAAAATTTTAAGCATGACAGATTGTTGGGAAAATCATATTTCATCCGGTTAATCTCAGATTTATCGTATTAAGTTGGAAGCAACGTACCAACGTGGTTTCCTTGGCAAAGTGTTTTTTTCAATCCAAGTTCAATTTGTGATAAATTAAAACTATGACTTCTCCAAATAAGTTCACTTGTATATCGTGTAGAGTAGCTTTTAACGATGCGGAAATCCAGAGGAAGCATTATAAGTGTGATTGGCATCGCTACAACTTAAAACGGAAGGTGGCAGGGTTGCCCCCTATTTCAGCGGAGGAGTTTCAAACTCGGGTTCTTCAGTTCAAAACCACCGCTGAAAATGCCAATAGTAATGATGGAATCTACTGCATGGTTTGTAAAAAAAGTTTTACCACAGACAAATCCTATGATAACCATAAAAATTCCAAGAAACACCAAGAAAATGAGTTCAGGTCAGAAATTCATCAGGGTAATGGTACTCCAGTTTCAGTTGTTCTCAAGAAGAAAGATCAGACAAGTGAATCAAGTAGCAAAATGGAAGTAGAGGATGAGGCGGATGAAGAAATTGAAGAAGTTTCTGATTTTTCTGATGATGATGAAATAAGTGAAGACAATCCAATAGCCAACGACTCCTGTTTATTCTGTCCTTACACCAATGAAGATCTGGCCGAAATCGTTCAACACATGACTTCAGAGCATTCATTCTTCATCCCTGATATTGAATATTTAGTCGATCTTAAAGGATTGCTTCTGCATCTAGGAGAAAAACTATGCCGTTGGCACATTTGTCTATGGTGTGAAAAAGCTTATCCATCAATAATTGCTGTCAGAAATCACATGTCCGATAAAGGCCATACGAAAATGTTGCACGAAGGTTCTGCATTAGTCGAGTACACAGACTTCTACGACTACAGCACAAGTTATCCAGACAATGATGGAGATGTCAGCATGGATTCTGAAGTTAATGTGCCCATAATAGATGATTCAGGATTCCAGCTTGTTCTTCCGTCAGGAGCTTCTATAGGACATCGATCATTGATGAAATATTATCGGTAAGATCTTTTTAGGATCTTTCTTCTCTCTGGAAAGACTCCTTGTGTGAGCATTACTTGAACTCCACCTATTTTCAAATTAATGCATCCGATCTCACTAAAACTGCAGTCGGTACAAGAACAATTTTCAGAAAGGACTGCACAAGAGTTCCTTTAACTACCTATCCATATTTTTCAGAAAACTGGCTTCCACAATTATTTCCTTAAGTAACAGACCTAATCACATAATAGTGCAAGTGAGTCTATTGAGAAATATTGATAGGTAACTTTATGCAAGACTTTTTTGTAGATAAATTTACAGAAAAGAAAATAACTAAAAAAAAATAGTGTATTTTCTTCAGAAAATACACTAAAAATCTAATCAATTGTACAAATCGCACTTATTATTCACTGACCTCAAATTTAACTTTGGGAAGATGATACAGATATTGATATTTTTTATTTCAACAAGTAAATTTTACAAAAGAACAAAGAAAAACAGCTTCATATGCCCGAAGACCCTTTGTGTGGCATACGTCACAAAATCAAATATCATATAGAGACCAAGAAAAAGAAAACACTGGTTGTCAAATCCTGACAGAACAAAAAGTATTTTTCGACTCAAACTTCAAATTTAATTGTGGAAAGATGAGAAAGACGTACTCATGTGGTAGTTTCATAGGTGTTAAAAATATCTCATGTGTAGATCCGGATTACAGCATTTGCAAAGCAATTTCCTCAATTAATGCAATTTCACCATTTTTTCTTCTTTTTTCTGGTCTACAGCATTGTAAAATTAGGGTGAATTGCATATTTTATCTGGAAATCAGCTATTTTTTTGGTGAAGTAAATCAGGATTTTGGATGTGACGCAAAACTTTAGAACTTTTTGCTCTCCTACCTAGTTTTAATGTGATCTACACATCCTTATAGTAATTCCCACTAAGTTTTCCCTTCCCCATCCTCCCCCTTCCCTCCTTCCCAAAGAAAATTACTTTTTTCTTCTTTTTCTTTCATAAGGTCGGAACAAAGCTTGAGCTCAGTTGAGTCAAAAAGTTCTAAGATAGAAATTTTTTCGATGATTATTCTTTACCTTATTGTTTACTTATGACTTGCTCCTTATTTACAGTTGTACATAATTTAACATTCTAATTGCTTACTTTTTTTCTTTTCTTTTCTTTTCTGACAGGCAAAATTACAATCCGCACCGGGCGCTTGTACCAACATCGTCAAACAACAAATTAGCAAAAATTATGGCCCAATATCGTGCTCTTGGCTGGAATGGAACCTCTAAAGAAGTTGCTGCAAAGTAAGAGTCTTACCATAATTTCAGCTTTTTTTCTTTATTTAATTTAAATGGTAACTTCCTCTTCGGCTAGCGTAATATTTTAAACGGCTGTTTTATAAGCCAATGCCATTATTCTGCTGTCCAAATTGTAAAACGCTGTAACTCCACCTAATATCTTTCAAATATTTGATAACAAAATATTATTTTAAAAGATAAATAACAGATATTTATCCTCCATTTTTTCAAATCAGTTCTGGTGTATCGTTAACAACTCAAAATGAAAAAATTAAGTCTTCTGGCATTTAGCCTTCCTTGTAATAGAGCAGTATTCAAGGAAGAAAAGTACAAAGTTTGGAATGAAGTTTCAGCTTTTCTGCTTCTTGCTTTTGCGTTTTTGGCAGTATTATTCACGAGTAAGTCAAGAAGCAATCTCTGATCTGAACACCAGAGCAGAATTACAAGAACCTTCACGGCAATAATTTTTTTAGTGTGTCGAACACAAGCTCAATATGAAGAATTAAGAATGAGTTTTTTCCGTTATTAATGCTAGAAGAGAAAATGTAATATCAGGTTTTTAATGAAAAAGCCAGCCATCAATGAGCTGTAGCAAATTGTTAGTGAAACTGAGTACAAAACCAGTAATTGTTCGAGACATCACAAATTGCTACCGCATTTTTCTTCGCAGTGGAATGGCCAATCATTATTATTCACTGCTCAAAATTTTGTGACTTTTTCAGCATGTCAAGAATTTTCTCTGAAAAGCATGTGAAGTATCCAGTAATATTTGGAATGCATTTTGCAAAAAGGAACTAAGGGCATTCAATGTCGCAAAGATTGTGCAACTTTTTTTAGTTGCAAGTATAAACTGATCATCTAAACAAGTTTTATCCTTACTCCCAATAAACCACAAATTCAAGATGAAAATTACCTTTGTAATTCAATGTTTTGCATGATTGCAGTGATTCTATTGCAAAGAACGCACGTAAGTTGCACAATCCTAGCAACATTGGAATGCCATCAGTTCATTTTCGCAAAATGCAATCCATTTAATGGCCTGCTGTAAGATTATAATAGCATAAATTTTAAAACACTGTATTTGAGATATCTGTTTTTGAAGTTTCGTTGCCAAAGTGCCCATAAGAGCACCTCAATTTGGATGAAGGATGATACAGGATAAAAGATTTGGTTTTCCATGGTTTTTTGTGCATTCAGTGTTTCTAATTGCCATATGTTTTTGATATTTTACAGGAAAGCAAAGGATATTAAGTACATGCATTACGTCAAACAGAAGTATAGAATGCAAGTTGGAGTGAAAGCAAACAAGCTGCAGAAACACTTCCGGCCGCAAGTCATATTCTAGGTGCATACTGACCTATCGTTTTCTCGTTGTAAGAATTTTTTTTTTTTTTTAAATAAATATTTTACATTTCAGCAATTACAAGTGTACTTCTCTTCCATTGGCAGCAAAACCTCAAATTAAATTACAAGCCAATAATAACTTATTTCCAAAAAAAAATTTTTAAAATTATCATACTGAAAAAAGCATGACTACTTATAATCAGAATGCCAAATTCCGAAATTCTGGAGTTGTGGAAAATCAGAAAAAGTCAGGAGACAGTCAGGGCATTGAAAATTGAGGAAATTGTGAAAACTTTGTCCAAAAAATTCCAGCTTCAGTTTCATCCTCTAGCCGTAATGTTTTTTTGATGCAAGTAAGATTGACGGAAGCATTTCCTCTCTTACCAGAATAATTAAAACCTTGCATAATTTAGAGAATTCCCAATGTGACTCATCGGTTGCTCTGTATTTATTTTTCAATTTTCTCCCAAAACCACCTCAATGGAAGGCAAATTCAATAGAAAACTCAAAAACAAGATTGCAAGGACTGGTCAGTATCACAATAAGTTTATAAGTCAATAAGTTTTTTCTGATGGTAAATATCACTGCTGAAAATGAAAAACAAATTTTACACTTTTCAGTTAAAGCAATCAGTCAGACCATAACTAACGTAAAAAGAATTCTTTTAATGTCATTATCTTTGTCTTGAATTCTTAAAATTATTTGCAACGCGTTAAGCAGAAAGGACCCAAGCCACATCAGCCATTGCCATAGTTAACCGGGCAATTTAATTTTTTACATGCAAACGGTTGTGCAAATTTTTGTGCAAATTCCAGCGAGTTCTCTGCATAGTACGAAGTAAATTCCTCAAACAAATTTTCAAAGGAATCCGCACAAGCGTTCTCTTGTAAACAATTAACTTGCCCAGCTACATTTGGCAATAGCTGATGTGGCTTGGTTCCTTACTGATAAACTCGGTTCATTTGCTCTCAGAAATATTGTTCCTAACACCCTGAGTGAAAGAGCTCTGAGTAGCTTTGTTTCTCTCTCTCTGCAGTAAAAAGAGACTAAAATACATTTATGATTGATAACAGAGATCAGTTGAAAGTAAAATGCTGTCTTGGTCAGAGACCAAAATAGGCAGCCAAGCACAACAGCAGAGCAAGGGGTGAAAACTCGACACTTCCCTTCAAAAGGGCTTAATCAGATGGTGGAAGGGTATTATGATATTGAGCATAACAGCCTTAAGAAATAGGGTCATGCAAGCTGAAGCAACTGGTGTCTGGGGGTGGCGGGTGGTGTTGCCATGCCAATGGACCCCAGTCACCACCCCTCCCTCCCCTAAACTCCATTCTCTGATATCATTTCTCCTTTGCTCATCACATTTTTGATAGTAATAGTATTCCCTCTCCTCCTTTTTACACACACTACAGGTAAGAGCTGTGATTTCTTTCGTTCCTTCAATTTATAAAACCACACATGTATGCTTTTGAGGAAAGTAGCTCTTACAAAGTTCAGTCAGTCTTGTTTACATTTCAATTGAGGGTGGGTAGCATAGACATGCATTAGTGTTTTGACTCCCTGAATTTTCCCAATATCCAACTCAAAGACCTTTTGTCTACTTCGTTTTTTGAAATTTATACCCAGCAACACTTGACATTATGTCATAGCGGAAAATCATATTACATAAGCAAAGGATAATTTAGTTCAGTCGATTTTTACCTTTGAAGTTCCTATGATTTTCATCATTCTTAAAGATTTTATTTGCTGTAGCGCAAATTATCACTTCCTCCATCTCTTGATAAATGGATTTTGTGAAAACAAGCTAAGTGAATAAGAAAATCTAATGTGTATGATGGTATAGAAAACGATCAGTTGTATAATATGGACCATTATGTCATTTTCTTACATTTCTGCTCAGCTTCTGGTCCAAATTGAATTTTAGGAAGTAACATTTTAATCAGACATGCAAAGGTTTTTCAACATTCCTTGTTCCTCAAAAAAAAAAAAAAAAAAAAAAAAAAAAAAAAAAAAAATGGAACCATTTCCATTCTAATTCACCTTAAATAAGTAATGGTATCCAGGCCTCTTTTTAAGAGTTTGCTCAGACTTTTTGTCTCAAATTCCGCGTTTTCAGTGGGAAGCAATGTACGGAGGGAGCTCTGCTATCATTTAGATTATAAAACCAATTTTTAAGTTAGTTTTTGCACCTAATCTTCAAGTCTCGTGGCCTCCAAAAAAAAAAAAAAAAATTATGAGGAATGGCGAGGTTCATTATGCAAATAACCATTGTGTGATTGTAGGGCTTTTTCACTGAATAATCGCAGCTTACATATTGCTATTGTTCAGTCAGATTTTGTATTTTCTCGTCGTCTTTACTTCTAATCTTTAAATGTTAACTTCATGAGGAAGACTCAGGATTGAAGAAAAACTTAACACCTAACTTCGTCCTTTTTAAAGTAATCACTGAAAAATCTACAGTACCTCATGTCATTTTTTTAGTCTGAATTGAAAAGTTGTGGTAAGTTAAATTTAAAATTACCTAAGTTTTAATCGTTGACAGGCACCAAAAAAGTGGAGGGAAGTAATTTTAACACCATAATCAAATTGCGTCGGTTTGCCATTGAGTCAAATGCTGATACGCGATGAATTCATAGTGCTGAAACCAAAAATTACCTATGTTTTTAAGGAGCAGTCAAGTTTTGCTTGCTGCTAGCTGAGAAGATGACAACAGCCTCTGTTTTTATCCTCTTGGGTTACATTTATTGTTTCCTCATTTTCAGTTCCTATCAAAGGCTGCTCACGAACCGCAACTAAACGCACAACGAAATGTCACAGCTCACATCAAAAGCAGATGCAATAAGACTGATTTATCCTATTCCTCAAAACCGTTACGGTGATATCATCACTCACCTGCGGAGTAACTTTTTCTTGGAAGAACCTCTAAACAAAGCTGTAGAATTAAGTTCCCCAAACGTAGACTTAGAAGCAACAATCCTGGACACTTTGCATGAAAATCTGTCTATAATGGCTCTAAAATCTGATACAGAACAGGTACAAAATATTTCCTCTAAATATATATGTTACATTACATGGTCTACATAGTCTCCTTTTAAATCATATGCCTGTTATTTTCCAAATCATTTCCAACTTCTATGATGAAAATAATTTAACTTGATGTTTTTAATGTTTAATTAAGCCATCAGTTTTCTTTATTAAGTTATAGTGGTGATAATGATTGCTCAGCAAAGAGCAAAATAATCAATTTGAAATGAGTTTATGCCTGCCCGAGTGGAAAGTTAAAAAAAAGAACAAGGAAATGCTTTATTGGTACATTTTTTAAGAAGAAAGATTGACAATTAGAAAAATTGTATTGTGCTTTTTATCTCTATTCTGGAGGCATAAATTATATGCAGTAATCTTGGTGATAACTTTGACTATCTGTAAGTGTATTGCAATTTTATGGCAATATATCAAACAGGCTGAAACGTTTTCTTTGATAATTTAGACTTGAAGGACATAGAGATAATTTTCTCATTTTAGGTTTGTTTGTTCTCATGAAAAGATGGTCATTTAGAAAATTAAGATTCACATCATACTCTGCGATTAAGGCTGGCAAACTAGGAGCCATGCCATAATGAATCGCCTTTTCCGACTCATCCTTATAAGTATCTCTCTGTAGATGGAAATGAATGAAACTTAAATATGTTGTTTTTAAAATAGATTAGAAAGGATGACTCCTTATGACAAAATTTTTTCTGGTTGAAAGTTCCAATAATCTTTGGATATCTGGTCCATTTGGAAAGAATTCAAATAAAAATCTTGATATATCTCTGAAGGATGAAACACAATCTATTTGATAAATAATTAGTTTGGTTTTCTTAACTGCTTATAGGTAGTTGGTGCTGTGTTAAATGGAATAATAGTTCCTGGAGATATTCTAAAGGCTCAAGAAAAACTAGAAAAATCAAACGACGAGAAGTTTAAGAAAATATTCTCGTTTCTTTACAAAACAAATGAAAAAATAGACTTGTTCACTCGATATAATGTTGATAAAATATTTGAAGGGCGAATATTATCGGTTGACGCCTCTCTTAGAGGTTACGGTATTGGGAAAAGGTTACTGGTCCAAAGCGAAGAAATAGTGCGGAGAGAAAACTGCAAGGTAAGTGCAAGTCTATGAAGTATAAAATTAAACTGCTGGTGAGAGCCAAACCCTGTAACTCGGTTTGCAATGTCGCAAGGCTCTTGTCACATTTTACTGTTTTTGAAAAAGCCTAATCATCGTTTTTGCTCAAAATTTTGTTTGATTTTCCTTCATTCTTCCAACAATATTCCCTGAAAATTATGCGTGAGAATATGGATTGGTATTCTTCTGAAATTTAAAATATTAGCGAAAATTTTCACTTATGATAAGTAAGTTTCATGCCTTGGTAGTTTCACAATTAAAATATGAGTTGCTATCAAAGAAAGATCAAAAGCACACTTTCCTAACAGACTTCCTCAGAGTAAAATGGGTCGAAGAGAACGGGTTGTCATTATTGTCTCCTTTTGGTGCCCCCGCACCCTGCATTCCTCTTGTCATCTGAATACCCCAAAACTTTTTGTTCAGAGAAAGTAAGTTAGAAAAGAGAGATCGATAAAAGGCTTTTCTGCTCGGCAGCCACTGATTAGCTCCAATGCCAGCACTAGTGTGCTGTTTGTTCTTTGAAACATGTTCCACCAGATAGTTTCAGTCCAACTTATAATACCAAAAAGGCGTTCTTAATATGTGATGCTTTGAACAATTTTTTTTTTTTTATTTAATTGGGCTTTGTGATTTTATGTGATAATAAAAAGGTAATCTTAGTCATGAATTACTGGTGTAACTTACTGCGGTGCAGTGACTTTACAGAAATCATGTAAGTGAGTGTTCCAGTGAATAAATACTTTGAAAATGTGATCTCTTCAATTTGTCCGCACCAGAATGTCAAACGAGTTTTCAAAAATGTGAAGTAGCTCACCTACAACCAATAGGACGCCCCTACTCACCACTACAAGTTGAGAGAGAAAAGGGAACAGTTTTATTACATTATTTACCAACTTTTGAATTCATGGGAATTATTGATGGCTTTTAGATTTGGAAGATGGACGTGACAGGGATTTACTCTCAAAGAATCGCCGAAAGCAACGGTTTCGAGACAGTTTTGGAATTGCAGTATGAAACGGAAGTGATAGAAAATGGACAACCGCTGTTCAACATACCTCCGCCTCACAAGAGTTTCAAAATAGTCGTCAAGTATTTAAATTAATCAACTCTTCAATCACCCCTGCAGGATGGAAACTCCCTGGATGACCAACATCCATCTACAGCAATAACTGTACCCTTTACTTAACAATAACAGAATCTTGATAATCATTTTGAATACGTCACAAGGCCTTAAAAGGAATATGTGTCATTGATGACTAAGTCGAAGAAGTCTCATTGCGACCTTGAAAATCTCTCCCCCAGTCTTATTTTTAATGAAGAAAGCTAACTAAGATTTATTTTTTATCTTTCCTTCGCTCCTTCAATAATATTCATAGAAAGTCTCAAGATCTTTTTGTGAGTCCTTTCTTAAAGAGGGCAAGCATAATCAGAGATTTTTAAACGATGTATTGGAGAAATGCATTTTTCGACTTCAGTCATCGTCATATTAACAGTCTAACTGCATACCATAAAAAGATAATTTTGAGATGCCTTTCATACCTTATCTTTACAAACTGCTTCTGGCTCGTGTGTGTTTTGTCTCTTGCGATAAATTTTATTTGATGCTGTGAATATATCTTTATGTAGATATTAACTTAAATTAATAAAAAGACAAAAAGACCTTAAATGACAAAAATATCATTTTCTTATGACCAGGAGAAACCGATGATAATTGCCGAATGCCAGAATTCATTCAATTTTACAGAATTGAAGGTGAAGTTTCATGTTCAAAACATTCATGACTATTCAAGTAACTATCTATTGATAATTTGCTTTTGTCATAAATCAATCTTATTGGTGTATTTTCCGAAGAAAATACACTATTTTATCATTTCATTTTTTAATTTCAAAAACAACTTACACAGTTTCTGCTTCCTATTTAAGCTAGTCCGAAAATGAAACTTCTTTCCTGGCTTATCAAAGTAGAGGTGTGAACACCGTACAGTATTTGGATCTCATTTTGCAATTAGGAGCTGCAATTTCAGACTCATCCATTAAAGCACCTACCAGGATAGGGAAACTAATGGCACAAATGCCGTTTCTGAATTATTTTATGTTTGTAGTTCCTGATTGAAAAATAAAGTCCATTTGATTTTCATCTTCACCTATTGTCAAACAACTGAACTGCATTTGGCAATTTGAAACTACAATATCAGGCTCAGTGTAAAAATGATGCATTGGTATCTCTACGAACATGAGTGTTTTTACCGATGGGCTAGAAATTGTAGCTCCTAATTGCAAAATGTAGTCCAATTCATCAAAGAGGAATTTTTTAGGGGGCTTTTCTTTTCTCTGCTTGAAAAGGACATATCCTTGCCTTTATGCGCAGGACACCATTTTTAGAGGTCTTCCTGTTGAAACTGCACAATAATGTGAATAATCATTCTATCAGGAATTTATTTGAACGATGGTACGTTGAGAAGTGCATCTCTTATTGCCGTTTGTTAAGAGAATTTTACCTATTTATTTAGGTTCAAGTGAACTTGCTTTGAAAAATAGTTTTATTGATTATTTATTATTCCCTCAGTTCTTACTCAGTGAAACTGAAAAAAAAGTAAACCAAGTGTGAAAAAATGAGGAATTCATACTAGAAATGACGCTTTGTTACAGTTTTTTCATGGCTCACCTTTTTATTTGCAGCTGATGCTTTAGATTTCCAATAAATTTGTTGTGAATTAATTAAATTTATGATTGTAAATTAGATATATAAGATTGACTTTGGTTGTGAATTTTAAGAATAATCTGTTTTGATGCAAAATGGAGATGAATTTGATGAGTCGACCATGGGTTTTAGTTACCTTCAAACAGGAGGAGCATCTTTCTCAATTTTATGACTATAGGAGTAAAATGAGGTTAAAAATTTTAAAAAAGGCTAACTGCTAGTTTTATACCATAGAGGCTGACTGTGGGTCATAGGATGCCTTATCTTCTCTTGGATGGTTCTATGGTCAACTCACATTTGATAAAAATATTTTCTGAATTACTGCTTCTTCCGAGTAATCTGCGTGTTTGAGAACTTAAAATAAATGAGAGGAACAGAAAAAGAAGAAGGCAACAAAATCTAATCACAGATTGTCAACATTGTTCGGTTACGCTGGTTTTGGTGACTTAAGCTTATAGAATAGCAAAAAATAATAAGATCCATCCAAATGCCTAGTTCTTAAGTTCAGTATCAATGGAGTTATTGCCCTCTGAAAAACAGTGAATGATAGCATCCTCTAAACGTGGTGCAAACCATGATCTTGTCCATTTTTAATTCATCAGTTAGTGATACACACATTTTCCTTGGATGCTCCGCTTACAACATAGACAAAACCAAGATTTAAAAACCCATGGTATGCACCACTACAGTGGATGACATCATATGCTGTATTTTTTGAAGGACAATGTCTCTGTCAATATTGGACATTGAGACTCGATGGTAAGACAAATCTTATTATTTTTTGCTGTATGATTTATAAATTGAAATTATAAAAACTCGACTCTGTGACTAGCGCAACAGACCCGTTGTGGAAGTTCCGGTATTTCTCAAAGATAATGTAAGGCAAACCTTGAAATGATTTTTAACTGTAAATTTTCATTCTCGCTTGAATTGTTTGCTGGAGGAATAAGTTATTTTTTAAGGCTTAGTTCTTTAATGTGAAATTAAATGAAAAGCTCAAGTGACTCACCACTTCTTTTTCTGTTCTCTTCTGATGATTGAGCCATTTCAGGAAGTGAGTTTACTTAATTGAATCTATTCTTGCAGATAACTTCAGCTTCAAACAAAAGTCATTTTTTTCCAAAAAGAGAGTTACTGTGCTTGAGTTCACTTTCTAATCATTGGAAAGTACTGTGAGAAGATAAAAATAAACGAGATCATTTTAGGTAAAAGGGCCGAGTAAATATTAAGTTTTGATAAGGTTTGAGAATGGAGATGGGCAATGTTAGATTCATTTAAGATGCTGTCACTGAACTGACAACTTGTTATTCTTTTTTACTTAAATTGTTACGGAGTTTGAAAAACTTCCAAATAATAATGTTAATAAAAATATGCCCGCAGTGGATTATGTTGTTGAAGTCTATTGTTGCTGAAATAAATGTATATTTTCCAAAGTGAGAATTTTTTAATTTCCCTGGTCATGATATTGAGGAAATAGTAGAATGCAGCACTACGTCATATGTAATTTCGTGGTAAGTAGAGGAGTTAGGCAGTCCACTCTTGAACCATTATACAGCTTTTAAATATAAGTGAGCAGAAAATGAGCGGCACTGGTAATATTCACATAAAACAAAAATTCTGATTGGACCAAAAACGTACCCAACAAATTTTATCTCCTCGAATGATAATAGAAAAAACCTAGGGGTTGGAATGTTTACATCAGTATTTTTATTTCTTTTAAAACATTTTGAATAAAATATTCGACAAAATCGATCAACAAGATAATACATGATTCTTTTTTGTACAATTTTTTTTACACTTGATCACGTTTGTGCATTTTGCTGTAGAAAAGTATACGATAACATGCGGACACAGATGTACGCACTAAAACGTTTGAGTTGAAATGAGTAACATGGAAGAATAGGTAATAACTTAACGATTGTCCCAAATTACTCTTCACTAAATGCACGACATATTTCTTCACTTCGTAACAATTTTATAATCGTTACCTTTTTTCTCTTTAAAAAAAAGGGGAAAAAACTACTGATACTTGAACTTACAGCTAAAGAACTTTAATACTAGAAACAATTACACATTTACTCAGGACACCTTCAATGTTACGAGAGGGAACTCTACTCATAAAAATCTGTCAGTAAGAGAAACTTTAAAAACTTGGGCTTGATACAAATTTTAATCCTTCTCATTGAGGAACTCATAAGTTAATCATCACTTTAAATTCCTTAATTAATTAAAACTTGGACATCTGGCAAAGAATATTTCTCTGCGAGTGGGAATAGAAAACAGGAGTAAACAGACCATTGACAGGGCGAGGCAAAACAAGTAATCCTTTCTCGTTTCCGAAGTCGATTAACAAACGATTGAGGAATTGATACTACGTTTAAAATACAAGTATGATGGTTGCGAATAAATTGCTGAGTTCATGCTTGAGGGGGGAAAAATATACACTACGACCGATAAGGATTACTTGAAACATTCAAATTGAAAAAAAATTAAAAAAAAATACATAAAGTATACTTACTCCTTAGTGGCTTGAAACTGACAGAGAAAAATAAGTCTAAATTACGCTCCTTCTTTAAAAATGATGGAAATGTTATTTTGTAGCTGGCGATTATTTTGATTCGGCAGTCAAACACAAGAGATGTTCATAAAAGACGAGAAATCAGCTCTCAGAACTACTAGAGGGTAACTTCGAAATTTGTTTTGGAAGCTAAGATAGAGCTATCCAGTACAGCATCATAAACTTTTATACTCTAAGAATCATAATGCAAAAGTTAATAAATTGCCCAAATCTGACTACAGATGCAGAAATTTTGGAATCAGTGCTCTTGGATAAAGTTGGAAGCCCTTTGAAAGCTGGCAAAGCCACAGTCATTTCTTTTGAAATTCCAGGCATTATCAAAATCGTTAACAATTCCTCTGAATTTTGGTTATTTTTTGCATTGTTGCTTTGGAAACTTTACCTCTCGATTCTGTGAAAACTTGAGGGAGTAAAATTTTGTGAACCTCTGCGTATCACAGGATAATGATATAGACATGGGAGGAAACCAGTTGAGTTGCTCCCAGCACCAATGGCATTTTTTCCTAAGTGATTCCATATCAATTATAACATTGTTATTGCTAAATTAAGAAGTAAAAGAGCCCGCTTTTGTAAGAAAGTTTTTATAAGATGTTTAAATTACATAGCAGGTTGGACATTTCGGTCACCGATATAGTTTTTCACAAAAAAGATTTTGATAAACGATTGAAAATCAAGACATGGCTGTTTTACGGTAGGTCATGGCAGTTTCTTTTGGTGCTTCGCTAGTTTTCATCACTGATATCTCCTTTCAGTGAATAAAACAATAAGCAGCGTTACATCGTATTTATGAGAGAAAGGTGCTCACAATACTTTTCAATGCTGCTTATCAATTGAATGTGAACTGAAGCTGAAAATTACCCTCAGTTCATCACTTTAGCCTTGCTTTCCTTATCAAATGGCCTGGTGAAAGCGTTATTGGTACTGTAACAATCATCATGGACGTCAGTTTTTTGAGCAACAAACAGTCTGGAATCTATTGATTTTTACCGACGCATAAACTGTTTTTTCCTTTTACATCCATATCAATATCAATGATAAAAATAGTCACTTTGCAGAATGATTATTGGGAAAAAGAATACAGGGGTGGGAATATACTTGCATAATCTGAGCCGAAGCAAAACCATCAAATAAAAATTACATTTTTGTGCTCATAAATCCTATGTAATGAGGGCAAACATTAATTTTATTTCACGAGTTCTCGCAAAGATAGTGGAATATTATTAAAAAAGTTACAATCTGTACAAATCTGTAGTTTGAGATGTTTTGAGGCAAATCAAAGCTAGTTACTTTCGACCATTGAGTTTTTGTCACTCTCACAGATTGAAAGGATCCACAAGATCAAATAGAAATCCTTGTTTTGTAAGTGTAACTGCCTGCCACTTGAGATAAGAGAGATACAAATTTTGGTATGGAAAATTTTAGGAAAGCATCCTGCAACATTAAAGTGCGCTCCTTAACTTACGCATTACTTGTACAAATAAATTTTAAAACACTTCTCTCTGGCTAAAATCTGTTATCAGAAAATTACCCTGTTGAGTAATATTGCCATGAACAGGATAGCATATGGTAAGAGAACCTCTAGAATTTTCAATTGTTCTCATCTTCTAAAGAACAGTTCATAACCAAACAAACCTACCTAAGCCCCACAATCATCAGATTAGGGGGTTAATTCTTCATGCACTCATAAAAACCAAGTGCTTCTCATTTCAAAAAGGAATCCTGATCATACTCGCACGAACCAACAATAACAAGAAAATAAAACATCATGGAGGTTAAATAAAAAGTAACAACGCAAGAATGCACTTGATTTTGGTTTTCTGCCGGGAAATACCTGAGCAGCCTAGAACAAAAGATCCTCATCACCTTCGTCCAGCATGTTGCCAACTTCGACATCCTTTGCTTTCGGGAGGGCAGCTTCACGTTTAGCACGGGCAATGCGCTTTTTATCTTGAATTTTCTTCAGACTAAAATGTGAAAACAAGAAACAATCAATTCACTTAATACTGAAATAGTGAAAGACAGGAGGATTAAATCTTAGATTGTGTCAAAGTCTTGTTGGAAATTTCTTGAATACTCCCAGATTCTTTTTAGATTTTCACTATTAAACATCCATTCCACTCACAAATTAGACTCGCAAACTGGCATACTGGTTACCTTCGAAGAACACTGAGTCGACGCTAGGCTGGGCCCAGTGTTCGTTCAGGTAACCAATGGGCCAGTTTGTGGGCCTAGTTTGTGAGTGGGACGGACGCTTTAGAATGGCTTTCTCGCTATTACAAATATGAAACACTATGCTTGAATTGGCTTCGCCGCAAATTCTGCATATTCTATGTAATTCTATTATGTTCTTTAGTCAAAAAACTCTCGACTAAAAATATCTTTCTACTCTTATTATGTATCTGACACACTCAGGGTAACAACTATTCTTGAATTTCGAAATACCCTAACTTTTCCATGATTTGCCAGTGTTTTTGAACATATAAGTTCCGGACTTGTTAATGTTTTTTTGGACATGAGTTTTCATGAAAATGCTTTTCACAAAAATATTAGAGCAGGAAGTCTCTTAAAATTTAAAATAATTGAATGTTAGGACTGCAGAAAGAATTTCAAGCTTCTCAAGCGAAATTCACTGACTTATCTCTGACTTGTCAAGCTTGGGCAAAATTGCCTGACTTTTCAAGAACTCCTGACCTTGTAATATATATCTGACTCAGTCATAACTTCTGACAGACAGAATCAAAATTGCCCTAATTATTGCTGGACCTACCCAGTTTTTAAAAAAATTTAGATTCCAAAATTCAATGAGGGTATATAAGGGATCAGTTTTGGAAGAGAGTTTGATCAAACTTTTAAGATCCTTGAAGACTAATAATGTTTAGACTTGTAATTGAATATCACACTGACAGTGTTGTATTCTTCATTGGACACCACACCCACTATTTACTTTTAAATTCAGCTCAGAAGATCACATTAAATCCAAAGAAATTTCACATAAAATTTGGCCTTACCGATAGAATTCTTCTCTTTCTAGTTCGTCAAGCTCGGAAATAATATAGGCCAAAGTTCGTTCGATTCGAGGAATTATAACTGAAAAGAAAATTGAAAATAGCAATAGATTAAGGGATGAACTCTTTCAAGATAAACGTTAAATTTGCAGTATGTAATATTATATGCGAACAGACTAGAGACAGTATTCTAAAAAACTGATTAAGACTCTGATGCCTTTCTGAAAAGGGCATTAGTATATCTTCCAGTTATTTTAGTCACACATTTTAGGATTCTTGAGACTTCATACATACATAATCAAAACTTTTAAGGCAAAGCTTCAAGATCAAATCAGCATTGAAAATTTGACTGATAATTGACTGGTTGTTCGCACAGGATTGATATGCAGTTAAACAAGATGGTAAAGAGCAATCTGAACATAGATCCAACAATCGTTTTGAAACAAGATCTTCCTGCAATAGTTGAGGACGGTATTACAGTTAGATAATTTGGTGCATATAACAGTATAAGATCCGAAAAATTCATGGCTGATAAACAAAATATAGTGAGACGAGGCACAAGTTGAATGCATGGAGTTACATTTTGGTTGTGGCCCAGGAAAAAGATAAATATTACTTCTCAATCTTAGGTGATTTCATGTAGAGTGCTCATAAAAACACCGTTACCTTTTACATCTCTGCTGATTAGTTTCAAGAAAACCTTAAAAATTGTATAATGAAATGATTGACTTATCAGTTATCTAAAATTGAGGCTATTCTTACCGTGTTCAATAGCATTGACACGACGGTTGGTAATCTTAATTACTTCATCTAAAGTGACAAATGACGTTTGTAATGACGCTAGCTCTACTAATAATTTAATAGCACTCTGATAATTTTTCTTCAGTTTTGCCAATTGTTGACCTCCTCGAGCAAGACCGGCCAATTCGTAGGTGTCTGATCCATCCTGATAACTTTCGAATACTGGTAAAGTCACACCTAGAAAGACAGTGAAGCGAGTTAAAAGAAAGCTCAGGAGACATAAGCTGGCTGACATCAACATGCAAACCCCATGTTTTTTGAGGATCACAGCAATTTGAGAAATGAAGAAGATAAATATGTCATAGCTTTGAACATTTTGGGGAAAATGGGTTTTTTTAATGGTAAGTCTGATATAAAACATGGGAGCGATGAGAAATTCCTGCATTCTTAAGTACATAAAAATTTAAACGCTGTGTTTAGTTACTACTTATAGCAATTTCTTGAACAATTTTTGTTCCAGAGCTTACAGCTTAGGGTGCTGCAAAATATCTGAGACAACTTGACAAATAACTTAGATTTTTATGCAACACTGAAGGGTGGTAATTGAAAACATTAAAACGATGAGACTCGTCATTTAATTACCTGCAACATTATCCTTTTTGGTTCTGATTTTGATCTGGGCTTTTGTGACGTTTTGAAGGACAACTTGATTAAAATCTCCAGTCGTGAATTTGGCTTCTGCTAAGGAGAAGGCAGCTTCTTTCATTACCTCTCCCATAAGCGTTTTCGTCTGAAACAATGTGAGAGGTTTTAAAGAATGAGAAATTGAATTAAACATCAATTATTGAAGAAAAGAATTTTTTTTTCAATGAAAACCAGGATTCACGTTATGATGGAAGTCTTGTTATGAGATTGGCCCTTAAATGAAGCTTTGACGTGTCAACTTATGCATAGCTTTTTAATTGTAATTTTTTTAAAGTAAACCTTATCTAACGTTATCTTATATAATTTGCTGACGGAGCTTTCATTTCAAAATCATGAATAGCTAAAAATCCATGCGCCAAGTGCAAGGTTTTAACTTGAGATTAAGTAACTTCTGTTTTTTCTATTTTTCAGAGGCTTTCTTGACATTAAAAAATGTGAACATTTTAAATACAGCTTTACACAGAGTTATACTGGAGATTTTACAATGCTGTCCATCCTGGAACTGGTGGAGCTATGGTAACCAGTTATTTAGAGTTCAAATTTTCTGCTAACTTGACCACTTGTACATACACTCAGTATAATAATTGAAAGGATATTGCGGCAACAAATACCTCAATAATTTTTCCTAGAATCATCCTGAATCGCATCTGCAGGGCGTCCGCTTTTTTCTTGAGTAAACTGTGGCCATTCTGTGCTCCTTTCAGACGACTCTTCATTAAAGTTTGGGATCTGTAACAGTAAAGAAGGTTGTAATTGGCTGAATCACAATTAATAAAATAGATGAAGTTTCAAATCTTTTGGAAATTAATTAAAATGGCAGGTGAGCAGCAATAGGCGTAGAATTAACTATCAGTCTTATAATGTTGCGATTAAATAGGAATTCTGACTCTTATAGCACAATCTCTAATTTTCATATTTTGTAAGTTGCATGAGTCACGGAAAGAAACGATACTGGTACACATGGCTTGAGATAAAGCACAGAGATACTAAATATATGCCATTACTTGAGCTATACGTATGACTATGGTAAGCAATCAGGCCATGTTCCATTTCTGCACATAATGTTAGTGTTGCGTTAAAATCTGAGAGGTTGAGTCACTCTGCGGGGGCATATATTAGTCCAAGGTGTAATGGATATCATAAGGGACTATCATAATGTGCTTCAATTTGAAGGGAAGGTTCACTGCGGAATGTCAAAATGCTGCTAGTCAGAGCTTCCTAACCTCAATTACGAAGACTCCCTTCAGGAGGTCACCACCTAAAGTGACTACTTGTTATTGGTTGCGAATTTGAAATGCACACTGAAAAGAGTAGTTGAGGAACAAAAAATGAAGCGACTGAGAGAGAAGGGAGAGAAAGAGAGGGAACTTGAAATATAGATTCACGCCCCTACAGCTACTGCAGGATGTTCGATCATAACCTGGTCTCAACTTCAAAGAGCCAAAATCCTCTTCGCAAGAATTATGTTATTCGTAAAAATATAGCCTCCATACTTTGAATAGTCAGAGGTGAAAGATCTTAGGGGCAAATTCAAGTATTAATGACAAAAAACTTAATCTGAAACTTGCCCTCAGAAGGGTTGGGCTGATAACAACAGCTTCACCCGAGATTAAAACTGTGCCTCGGGCAAAGAGTGTTAGGCATGGAGTGAGTTGTAGAAATCATTTCGATGAATTAAACTTACCCTCTTGAAGGAAAAACGGGGAGTTTATCCTTCCCAGACATTTTAAAGACGAATTGAAATTTGAAACTTCACAACAACAAAACACACTTCGACGATCACCTGTCACAAGTCATGTGACTGATAACGAGATACCACGCACACAAGCGCTAAAGTCTCAAACTATAGTCTGCTCTTTCATTCAAAGGCATAAAATCTTGGTCATTAAGATTTAAGACCAAAAAAATTAAAAAGGCGGCTCATTATGTTTATTTAAAAATTTTAAACCGATTGATAAAAAGTATTCATGATTATTAGAATTAGGTTCTGAGTAGAAGAACTATTTTTCTTTCAATTAAGTTGGCGCTACCGACTCAATGTCGAAAGGGAGAGGGAAGGGCGTAGACGAGCGGGAAAATTTAAAAAGCTGGGAAAATTAAAAAGTTCCTTTGAAATTTCTCTTAGATCCGAGTGACGGTTTTGGTTTGATTTTTCATCTGATTAATTTGGACTACTCAATTTTTTTAAAAACAATGAGCGAGTGCATAGTCGTTCCCAGGGAGATATAGAGAACAATAGCAAACTTCTCATTAGCGTCTCCTGTGACAATGGTACTTAAAAGTAAGACCTATTGACGGTGAGACTACCAGACCATATATGTTTGCGACGTTGCATTGCAGACAGACTGTCATGCTTTATTTTTTAAATAGAAAATTACACCAACGTCAAGTCTCGAAAACTTCTGCGATTTCTCTTCCCTATACGAAACTAACTCAGTGGAAATTTCAAGGAGTGATATTGATTCGTTCTCCTTAAGAAAATAAAATAGAAGCAGAGATTTTTAAACACCGCAAACAGGATACATGATCTTGTGGTTTCACCGTCACTATGTATAAAATTTATGCGCTGATTTCGACATTTTAAAAACACCACTGTTGTTTTATTTTAAAGCATAACACTGAATGAGAATGAATGAGATTTCACAGAATTTTTGTGAGAATGAATAAATCTCAGAAAAAAGTTGAGAACTTTCAAAATATACCTTGAGAATTTTGAACAAAAATCATGGTAAGTAATTAGTACTTACTGTCTGGAGAAATAAGAGAAAGGATAAATTTAAAAATATTGCATTGGAGGTAAGTGCATGCTTTTGTTGTTTCCTGTTGATAATTATCTTCAATGCAAAAAAGAAAAGAAGAGAAGGTTGTTTTTACTGAAAAGAAGAGAAGGTTGTTTTTACTTGTTATAGTGCCTAAGTATACATTGAGAAAATGGAAAATTTGTTTTCGACTAAGAAGAGAGATCAAATTTGTTACTGAAAATTTTCTCCTGTTACTTGAGGTTTTGTATTTTACCTTTTTTGTGACATTTTACTGAATAACTTCTTTTCTCATCCTCAATAAAACTGAGATTTTTTACCTTCAGTATAAATACAGACATTGTAATGCCTTTTTAACTGAAATAAAATTCAAATACCGATTGTGAAAGTACAAAACCATGCGACTCTGTTTGCGATGTTGCAGACTTCCTGCTGTACTAATTTATTTCTTTAGAAAACTATTCAAAAACTTTTCTACATCATATATGATGGGTATACCCATATTGAGTGTGCCCTATTCAGCGTTCTAGAACATCTTCCATCTTAAAGGCAATATCTGAAACTTTAAAAAATTTCTATTCATATAGGAAAAAAAGTTGCTTGGATAAGATTATTATAACTGCAAATTTCATTCTTTGATAGTAGATTGATATAAAGAAATTAATTAGAATTTTTTGTGCAATAATATTTGTAAAATGCTCCTCAAAACAATGGCGGCGTTTACAAACTATTTTTGACACAAAATTAGTTTTTCAGCGCTTGGCCCCTCTTTTCACGAACAGTCACATACATTAAACACTAAAATGGAGAAATAAAAATTCACTACAAAACAGTTTGAGTGGTTTTTATTTACATTATTTTCCTTCAAATCACAAAACTGAAGTAATATGAATCTTAAAATAATCTAAGGACAATATGTCAGCAAAATTTTTCAGTCTCTGAATTTACATAGACGCATATACCAATCATTTAAAAAGAGAAAAAGAGAATAAATAATAAAAATTGTTACTGGCTTGATGAACAGACTATAAAATTTCAAATTAACTTATTAAGTCATGCTTTCGATATAAAATAAAAATCATCGAGGGAGACAAAATACTTAAACAGAAGAGGTGGGATGGGAAAATGTCCAGTGTATGCTGTTATAATGCTTGCATTAATAAGCAATCAATTCTAATTATTAGTTAGGGAATAGAAGGTTAAGTTCAGAACATGTACTACTGTTTTATCAGAAAGAGATTCCTAATGAACGATAATAAAAAATTGCTTGGCATAAAGTAACAACACATAGAGGCTTATTAACATTAATGAAGCGCTGAGTGCCAAAAAGTTGATTTCAAGTTATTCACATTTTCATTTCTGACAACTACTGTGGAACATAGGATTAACGCTACCTTTCAGACGTTATACGCAGTGTTCTATTGTTGGTGGAACTAAACCTGTTATGCAGCATGTTGTCCAAGGTGCTTGGAACAAAAAGCCTCGTCTAACTCAATTTTTGATTTTTTCTTCTCTTTATTTTTTGGCCCTTAGCCTGTTATTATCAAGTCTTCAGATGTTTAGAGAGTCTCCAGTGTTGTTTTGAAACTTATAGCTGAGGGTCAAACCCCACCTAAAATGTTAGACTTGCCTTAGCACATGATGATCTTTAAAACTTACAGAGGTATGGGTTTTGCTACATGGGAAATCGAGTTTTAATGAGTGAATTTTTTGAAGATAAATTCAATTTAAACTTGATTGATTTAGTTTAGTGATCTATTGGAACTTCTGATACTCTCAGATTCATAAATTTTGACTTGCATGGCAAGCTTGATGCTAATTGTGCTACTAACTTTTCAACTCCCACTCTTCTACCATGGTTGAAATGACTGCAGGTCAAAGTGCAATTCGATTGACAGTGGGAGGAAACACTTGGTCTGTTTAATTGTGTATAAGGGAAAACATGGAGGTTATTTAGCAGACGACAAGCTGACACACGATTATTTCAGTCATGAAATTTTTCATTAATTAAGTATGGCAAAAAATAGAGTTAAATACCTGGACAAGTAATTCGAATCAGATATGTTTATACTATGTTTCCAGAGAAGACATACAATTCCCTCAGAGACAAATTTCCAAAGAAATTTACCATTAAATTTATCCAAAAATAGCAACAAAAAAGTAAGCTTACAATTTGAGCATCGACTAGAAAGAAGGAGAGAAAAAAGCATATAAAAATAAGAGATAGAAATAGGAGGTGCAACTGCAGTTGCGGTTAAACATGGAAGGCAAAAGAAGGATATATAATTAGGACGATAGGAAATTAAGCACAAGATATCAGAAGAACATCTTCTTAGGCTAGACATTGCTATTAAAGCAAAAAGAAAAAAAATATGTGAGATTAGTTTATTGTATCAGAACTATCAGATAAAAATCTGTGCAGTCGGAAATAAAATCTAGTGGCAGGGACGTCGGAAAAAGTTAAAAGGGACAAACCCCTAAATTTGTTATCTCCCGCACAAAGAAGTGTACCTCAATTGTACTAATTCAGTATTTCTGACTGAAACTTTATTATTTTTCAGAAGAAGTGTCGCATAAATTTTTTGGAAATTTACAGTGATTTTTCTTACACCGGTGAAAAAAGACTAAAATCTGCAAACAAATTTGGGTGGTGAACCCCCATGAAAAACAAAATGCTCTTAGAAATACTGAGACAGCGCAGGAAAGGTACGTTCCTTCCTGCAGGAGACGACAAATTGAAGTTGAACTCTTGTTTCATCTGAGAAGTCGATGCTATGTTCTGCCGACTGTTTCAAACTGCTAAAGCTGCTAAGTTGAACTGCAAATCACCAAAGCATTTCCCCCTGAGTTCATGGTTTGATTCGTACTATATCAAGCCCAACTTGTTTTTTGGGTGTTTGTCCCCTTTCATTGCCTGTAAAAACACACCCTTCGAAATACATTGGTTGTTATGCCACAGGGCAGTTAGAGGTATTCTAGTCAAAAGCCTGAGATCCCAGCAGAGGGCGTACAGACTTGCAGGAAAACAATTTCCGGACTTTTTCTCATTGATGACCTGCGGGCGCTTATAAGAAAATTTTCATTTCCTAAGTTGGAATTTTTGTGGACATTTGTCAATATTAAAAGATGATCAAAAAACTTGACAGAGATATAAAAATCACAAGAGAGAAAAATACTCAAAAATTGAGGCATTTTTCCGTAAAAGGGCGTTTGAGACTTTCAATACTGCTAAGATCGTGCAACGCAATGCTCTAGTTGTAAGTAACTCATCCGACGATTCTGCTGTGAATTTTTCTCTGAATCTGCTCTGAGTTTATACTCACTATTGTAAAGAGGTAAGTCAACTGTGAATGAATTTCAACTGCTGCAAGCACTAGAAAAAATTGCACGATCTTAGAAGCATTCCAAGCTTCATACGTCTTTTTACCAAAAAAGTTCTCAATTCCTACAATTGCGTCTTTGTCTAAAAATCTGGTTCATATTATCTTCTGACTATTTCCAATTTTTGAGCTTTGTGGACACCCTGAGAGATGATTTTAGGACATGTATAATAGCTCCAGGGCACTTGAATGCCCAGACCCACTCATCTTAACTGATTATAATCATAGGGGTTCTTAACTGGCCAGTGAATGGTGGGACTAGAATATAGTAAGCAACTAGTGAAGTTCTTGGAAGCGGAAACAGTATCCTCGATTTGTCACAAATTTTCTGGCTTCTAAAAAACATGGAATGAGTGAGATAAAGTCCGACTGTGCTTCATTTCTACACTTGGAATAATAAATTCCTAAAAAGATAAAAGAGAGGAGGAATGGGATATATCATACCATAAAAAGACAAAAATTGTTGCGTTAAATGATAGCATTAGATTAGAAACACTACAGTAGGAATATGATTGTAGAAACTTTGAATTTTCAGACACTAGTCTTCAGATTGTGCTTAAATATATGCAACTAATCATTAGTACGTTTGAGCTACCCATCCTCATATTTGACAAAGCAAAGAGATTCAAAAATCGGAAGAAAATTTCTCAAAAAGAAGAGTAAATTTCATGACTAAAATTTTTTTGACAACTATTAAATTGCGTCCAGTTTTCTTGTACTTGAGAGACTGATAAAAATTAAAGTTTATTTACATGGCATTACTTTTTTCTAAAAAGTTAATACTTTTCTTTTAAAATCCGAACCAACAGAATTAACATGATTAGAAAAAAAAATAAATTAAAAAAATAAAATAACATCCTTCAAATATATTGCAAAAAATGTTCGACTTTCATCTTTTTTTAGAAACCAAAAATCTTTGGCACTGATTAGTTTTCTGGAGTCAAACCCAAACATGACGAATAATTATTGAAGTCGGCATTCACAATGGAAAACGCACATATGAATATGGAAACACATGAAACAAAAACAACTCAAAATTAAATGAAGGTTTATCCTATGATACATATGAATTGAATTAAAATATATAAATATATAAAGATACGTGTGATAGATGATGGTTTGTAAAAATACAAACAATGATTTCTAAATAGCTTTGTGACGAAATGATAGGAATCCAAATTTTTAACACAAAGGCAACACTTACAAGTGAAGATTCAAATTAAGGGACATGCTTCAGGAGGAAGAGGCAACCTTACTAGGAGCAGAAATGAGGCCATAAATAAACTGACATCAGTCAGAGCAAATCTGCCAAAAACGCTGTGCAAACATTCGGATGTTGCCACATTTTTCTCGATTAAATATTAATTTTTGACGAAAGTTACGCATATTTTTCTTTGAAATTTTCAGGTACTTGGGATAAAATTGAGAATTAAACTCACTGAAAAATTCGAAGCTGAAACATTCACGAGGCTCCTTAAAGATTAAAGCTTCATTAAAGGACATCAGACAACATTCAAAAGCTCATATGGCGGTCTTCTAAAGCACGGCAGAAATGGGGGCCATCGTTTAAAGGAAACTGATCTCAGATTGACCTGTAAGTTTAAATATTTCTGTAAGGACGGGAACTTTTGAAATGCTTTTACATATAAGTGAGTAACACATACATATAAACAGCAAAACAAAATAAACTAAATGCGGGCTGTCATGAGCTGAACAAGAAAATGAAGTGACACGGACTGAATTGACCATGATCATTGTGGAAGGAGATGATAGGGTGGGGGAAGGGAAACTGTTAGGTACCTATATCAAAGGCTAAAGTGCGAAACCACGCATTTCCATTTGGAACATTGCAGACTTCCTGTCATACTTCATTTTTTCTTCGAGAAACTAGGCCAAGTAATTTCTTGAAAACTTCCTTGAATTTTCTTCACTGTTAGAAGAATATTCTGTACATGCTATAAAGTTAGCTTGCTGCTCTTAGAGAAAATGAAATAGGAGCAGAAATTTTGAAACAGAGTAAAGGATTGCCTTTCTTTTGAGGTTTCGCCTTTTGGCCGTCGATATCTGGTTCTGCTTCTTGCAGGTAAGATACATTTCTACCTGAATAGCCTTTTTTATACAGTATAATTGCATATGATGTCCTGCCCAGAACTAGTTAAAATCTACATCTCATTATTGAGCTGTCCTCTTTTTAAAAGAAGGCTAAACGCAAGAAATCATTGAATGCATAAGTACTCTCTGAAGTGACTTTGCTGAACGCAGGGTGAAAAAATTTCAGAGGTTGCAATCACTCGTCCTCCTCTTCTTCCTCCTCTTCACTCTCGTCTGAATTATCTGCGGTGTGATTTGTCGTTTCTTCTGCGGTACTCTTTTCTTTATCAGTGGCCATCTCTTCCTCTTCTGCCTCTACATCTGCGGTATCTTTGCTTTCTGAATGGTTTACTGGGCTTTTACGCTGAAAACACAAAACAGACACATTTTTACAGTCAAATGTGAGAATTCTGTAAAATTTGAAAATTTTGCTAAGTTTTCTTTTTCTTCAACATCAATATTACCGCACTTAACTTCAATCATTGTAAATTTCCGAGGGGAAAAATCATGATCATTTGATTAAGAAGGTACTTCGACTGTGATTAAATTCTCTGGCGTTGCCCAGTAATTCAAATGGAGAACATTGGGAAGTTATTTGCAGATCAAAACTTTTAGGCTACATTCATTGAAAAACCTGTGAAAAGGAGTTCTGTGAGGATTACCCTCTTTCTTTTTTTGGATAGAGAGATAAGAAAAAAAAACACATGGAAAAATAATAAAAAATTAATAATATGGATCAAATCAATGAAAAAAAATTCATACCACTAAAACCCACACGTTATTTTGGGATTTATTTTACTGAAGCAGGCTGTTAGGACACAAAATATGCCGGACAAATTCACACAAAAGGATACTATAACGCTGGTGAAACGCAGGAATGCGTATCTCAGTATGCAACATTGCAAATTTCCTGTCATACGATACTTTGTAGGTGGAAAAATACTCATACATCATTTTTTAAAAACTTTCTTGATTTTCATTCTTTTTGTAAAGAATATTATGAATAAAAATTTAAAGCGATAGCTTCAATCTGTTCTGAAAAAATAAAATGGGAGCAAAGATTTTGAAACAAAATGAGTGAGGTTCGTATTTCTGCAGTTTCTCTGTTAGAATGTGATGGGAAGCCTACACTCACTGACTTCATTTGGATCTGATAGGAGTTCAATTATAAATAATGATGGACATCATTAGACATAGAGGATTCATCGGCGTCAGCTTAGTGGCAACAACCAATAATTGAAAAGGAGATTTCCAAGGTAGCTATGTGACTACTTTTGTAGAGCTGTAAACAGATTCTGATTCCATAGTGATTTACAAAAATCATTTCTTTATCATGAAGGAAGGGATCGAAAGGTAAGTTATCTTACAGTGCAAATTATTCGGTTATCAAGCAAGAGTTATTTGGGATTTCTCCCTGATTAGCATTCATTGCGACTTCTAGAACACATAAAATTTCCATGCTTTTTTCATTAACTCCAATGGTAGAGGGGGGCAAACAATGCTTGATCTTGCAGATTGGCAATCAACTCCAGCTAATCCCAAATTTTGTCTTGAAATCGGACAATTTTCGATGGAACAAAATTGAAATTTGGCCTGGAGACAAAAACGTTGGATTACAAGAAACAGTCTGCATATCGGAACTGTTGCACCCCTGTGACAGCTGCGAGAGGCACAATCCGAAATATGTATGAGATGAGTTTTGAAATATGTGGTTGAAATTGAGTGTTCGCCGTTGATTAAAGTTCATTTAAATGAATAATAGATAGTTTTCCATCAAATGTTTTCGATAAGATAATTACAGAAATGCTGTGGTTAAATTATTACAATAGCAATTACGCTTATTTTGGATCATCATGCAAGTTAAACTAATCTGATGGGCGATGATTGGGCTATGATGTCAGCGCGGGGCCTGCAGATTAGTTCATCAAATTGTCGCAACAAAGAAAGTGTTAGAGATGTTAAAATATACACTGCCATTAAACTGATATTAATTTGAGGTAATTTAAACACATGGTTACATTTAGCGAGCTTGTCAAATACACCAGTGGCTCAGTGAAAAAGTTGTTTCTGAGAGAAATACGCAACAAAATATGTAGATGAAAAAGGCTCACATGGGCCTTCATAGTTACAAGACATTAAAAAAACAAAATTGCCTGTTCAATGATTATTCTTTACTCTCTGTCTCTGTATTTTGTCCTTAATCCAACAGGTTTTAGAAAGTTAGTATTTAGTCAGGGAGAATAGCCAACCACATTGCTAATTTTACAGACAAGGCGATTTTATTACCCCGATTATTCATTAATTTGTTGTAAAAATGATGGTCCTTATAGATAGATCACAAGGTAGAACTAGGGAAAAGGCAGCTTCTTGGTCCAAAGGTCTGCAATACTTATATATAGGAGTGCAACCCATTTGTCTCTGAGTTTAATGCCTTGAGAAGAGAAAATAACTGATCAGAATGGGCTGTTACTACCTCTTACATGCAGGGTTGCAAGTATCTGAAGACAAGTAAGAGATGGGAAGGCTTTGAACTCATGTAAGCATTTTTCACAAAAGCATGGTAACTTTTTAATGAAGGATGAAGAAAAGGTCATGGACCTGAAAATTTGGGGGAAAAGGGGGCCTCTAAAGTGAGCGGGCCAGTTTAAAAAATGAGAAGACTGAGAGCTTGCATTACCCCTGAGGCATGTTAACATTAAAGGAACGTTAACTGAAAGAAAAAACTACCGGAGTAAAAGTGCCCTGCTGATGATTTACGGTTATTCTGCAATGAGATATAGCCCATTCCGCATCATTATAAAATTTACTTGGATTTTTGCTATTCTTCAATGAGTGACTTTTCATTTCAAAACTGACTTAACTGTATAAGAATCTCTACATTAGGTTAATGTTTTGACAAAAACAAACTTAAATTGAGGAGATCCTTTCAAATTGAGCCACTAAAGCCTAGATAAAGAAATAACAATTTCACACTAAGCCAGAAAAAAATGTTAAAATCGCGTTGGGTTAGTTTTGTTTAAAAATCCAAAGATAATTTCAAACACGTCTTTAAAATTTTCACCTCTGTGGTTTCATCGTCTTCCTCCGTTTCCTCATGATTTTCTGCTGATATTCTGTCTTCAGATAAACTAATAAAACGACGTTTCAATTAGAAGAAATTTGGGATAATATTACAAAATCACAAATGGACAAGCAAAACTGAATACGTTGAGGAGGAGTCAACTAATTGGGGCCAAAAATTAGGCTATGAAATTTTTGCTCAAACGGAAAACCAGGCGCTTGAGATAAAACTGAAATAAAGGAGAGAATTTTTGGGACTGCAACTCAAGGAGGCATTCAAGCAAAAAAAAAATCTCAAATATCACCATGAATTTTACAAGAAAGAAAAATAAATGATGAAAATTTAAAAGTAATTTTTATTCTGCTTCACTCATTCAGTATCACTTGATTATGATTTTTAGATTACCTTGTCTATCTATAGAAAAAGATTGGAGCAATTAAGTCGGGAAGTTCGTAGACTTTAGTGGAAAGATTCCCTTGACTGTTCCAGACTTTTCTACGTCAAAAAAATAAGAATTTATTGACTTGTTTGGATCAATGATCTACTGTAAAATAAATAGAATAAGTGCATTCTAAATTTAAATTACCTAAATTTACTTTTAATTTCTTTGATTGGTGCATTTCAAGCAAAAGAACGATAATTGAAACAGCTTTCTTTAAAATTTTCTAAAATATTTTTTCTGACGAACACAGTCAAGAAAACTTCAGTGTTTTTACAAATTTTTCGAACACTTCCATTACGCTGCCATTGACTAAAAAGTTCCTAGGCTTTTTCGGGATTATCAGTCCTGTGGACACTCTTGTGTCATAAGACTTAATTTAGCCAATAAAAAATAGAAGGGAAAGAGTGAAAGTACTTTCTTTGGAGAATGGAATCATTTGAAGAGGAAAAATATCATTTCAGGAGTTCCGTCTTGTTTATAAATTTTATTGTAACATCAGCATGTAACTCTTAACTTAAAGTAATTATGCATGCTAAATGTAAAAATGGTTTTAAAATATTCTCGGAGGGATGATTGAAACATTGAGACTCAATAACTATTTTGTTTGAAAAATAAACGCGGAATTCACTTGGTGAGGACAAATTCAAATTAAAAGATTCATGACCTGTTAGAAACCGGGAAAACATGGGTAAATAGTTCACATAAATGATACCTTTGAAAATAAAGGGCAAAGATGGACAAAAATTGATGATAGAAACACACACAACGGATGGATCTTCTATGTACAAGGAAAAGAGCTGAGTTGAGGGAATAACGTTGCATACTTAACAGCCTTCAAAAAATGCAAAGAACATATTTTGCTTACTCGGATACAAATAGGAAAGGGCATCATTATTACAGCGTAAATGCTTTTTTACGAACTATTCTCGCGTACTGGTACGGTGTCCAACGGCAAGGACGGAGAACTGTCTTATCTTGTGGTTTCACTTCTTTCACAAATCTATGATAATAATAATAAACGATGTAACAGGAGTGGAGAATTCCGACCTCTCTTTCTGAATTCAATTATGATTCTTCTTTTCGATTCATTAAAGACAATAAAAGAAATTTGGAAAAAAGGTGTGAGGATCGAAATTGGAAGATGGACACAACGGAAAAAATAACATTCACCATGAATATATTATCTGTAAGTCTATAAACTTTAGGAAACATAATTATGTCTCGTCTTCTTTGAGGTATTTTTTTAAATATAAAACCGATGAAAATCACCTAACTGTTTTGACCAAGGATTTACTGCCATGCATCTACAGAGGGAGCAATTTCTACCGTTCATTATTGAAATTGACTTCATATTTCTCAGCTTTTGGTTCAGTTGATGCAGTTAAGAAAAAAGAGAACCGTAAGGTAGTAATTGTATTTATAATTTTCCAAAATCTTCACTTGAACGGTGAAGTGAAAGGGGCAAGTGAGAGGAAGGGGGTCCTAGTGACTCAGACTCTTTACAGTGTGTACCTACAATTCGTGTGTTTTTCTGTTAAATTTTCCTGGGCAAGGAGATTTTAGCTGAGACTTCCCAGGAACTTTCTCAATCCCAGAAACAAGAGTTTTTGCTTAGCTTCTGAACCTTGTTGGACAAAACAGACTGACTATCATAATTAATGATCCATTACCATGTCTTTGTGTGTGTTTTAATATCTTAACGTGTCCGCTGCAAGACTGCTCATGATGACTGAGCAGGGAGTATATTGTTATTTAACACTGATGAGGCCTTTCCTGTGACTCTCAAAATATCCTACGAATATTCGAAAGTAGAATATTCAAAGGATATTCAACCAAAGGTCAGCTCCAAAAGAATTTTTTGTAGTGTGACTATGATTCTCTGCAGTTCTCCTTAAAACGGAAAACACTAATTCATATTTTGTGCTCTGCCAGGGGCATTTCCATTCAAGCCGCACATTTTCAATACATGAGAAAATTTAAATCTTAATATCTTTTAAAGTCTCAAAAATGTTGCTACATATAGGATATTGGCTGAATACTCGCCTATGCATGATTTATATAGGACTTAACTGAGTAGGATATGTAGCAGAAACATCCTGTAAGTGGAAATGTAATGTCTTTTCAGGAGCCAATTGATATTTTAATGCTAGCTGTTTGGCCTGCGAATGAGTGATCAAGTATTAAGCTAGCAACAAAATATTGAAGTCAATTGAAAAAGTAAAATAGTGGGCATTTTTATTGAGGTTGCCATGCCAGTAAAAATGATTGGTAAGCCTGTGCCAAAAGGGTGCTGTGATTAGCAACAAAGTATGAATATTTCAGGGACAGATGAAAACTAAAGATGAAGAACAGTGTGAAATGAATGTTGTAAAAGTTACCTTGAAATTGTGTGTCGTTCCACTGTATCTTTCTCAGTTGATTGCTGTAAAATATAAAGCTTTATGTTAGTTTTGCAGTATAAATTGATTAAAAATATTTTTATAAATAAATGGATCTTTACCGTCTCACCACATTTGAACACTTGTGCGGCAATGATGTTAATGATAGAGCAAGCTTTTACTGCACAAGGGGTCTGGGAACCGGGGAGCCCCCTCCTCCTTTCAAAGCAAAGGGGTATGATGGAATTTGTTTAAAATTTAGACCCTTCACGACCTCGTTTTTTTTAGTTTCAGGGACAAAATCAAATCAAACGTCTGAAAAAATAATATCTCATTTTTCAATATGTTACGTTTTTCCCTTGACTTTCTTGAATCTATTATTTTTATTTTTGAGAACTAAGTAGCTCTCAATCTGTAATTTGACTAATAGGGGTACGAAAAAGGATAGAGCACAAAAAAAAGAGAGCAGCAACAGCATGCGCTGAAAATTGCCCGACTGATTGTGAGACTGATATTGTGCTGCAATCAAGCGACACTTTTCAAGCTGATAGAAATAAATATCTGCCTGGCTTCAAATCACCTGGACTCCATAAGCACTTCCCTCTCATCTTAAATCTCGCGTTGAATCGCACTTCTCTGTTCGGCATAAAGAAAACAAATCTTCAATACTCAACTTGGCCTATGTCCTAACAAAACTCCTGGGCTTTGGACTTCCTTGAGTGTAGTAAAAATAGAGAAAATAACTCACCTCTCGGCTTGATGTGACATTTCCATTCGTGAAAGAACTTTTCGACGTATCGTTCGCTTGAATACTACCAGCAGGAACTTTCAAAAATTTTTCTAGTTCATCCAATTCATTGGCAAGATCAAATTCTTCATAATCCTGTAAAATAAGGCAATGTGCTATCAGCAAAGAGACAGAGAAAAATATGGGAACTTTGCTCAAAATTAGTTTGCAGAAATTGAAATTAAGGCTGGACTGTAACCCTTGTGTTACTTATTGTCATTCTCGAGTAAATATCTACATGCTTTTTTATCGGTTTAAACTTGCTATGAGCCATAAGCTAAATGTGATTTTAATTATATATATTTTTTAAAATGAAAGAATGTAATTTACTTCATTTGTTTACTTAAGTTGGCTGGTTGGGTTTCAGTAAATTGATGGTAAAAGAAGTTTTAGTCATTTTACTTCTTTTAATATTCGTTATGTTTTGTTAAGTATGAATTCTTGAGAACGAAGTCATTTTTTTTCTTTCTCTGCAATTTCCAACAAATTTTTTTAGATTAGCGATAAGTAAGTATATTTATGCTTCCGGAGGATCTCTACCATGACAGATTCCTGTGGAGAATAGGCGTCGCAGAGCGCCGTAGCGCGCCGTAAAAGCGGCTCATACATGCACATGCAGATTTATTCCAGACAATGTGAATTATTTCAACTGCACTGACATTTTTCCTCAAGCTTTACAGTCAACGCAAATAATCTAACACAGAGAATACTCACCCCGCAATATTCTTCTTCATTAAATATTTGAGGTGGTAAAGCATACTTAGAATCCTTGGCCTTGCTATTTTGTTGCATGAATTCTTTTTCTGCTTCTTTGCCAGGCTCCGCAATATCTATTGCTTCATACTCAATATTTTTGCTTTCTAAAATCATCACAACACGCTGCTGTCTTTTTTTCACCTGGAAATGAAAACGCTACTATTTAATTCAGGGTGCATATGTATCAGTAATGTGAGTAACATAACAACACAGTAACTGGCATGTGAGTGGAGGAGTTCGTGACTAGCTCCATCCAATGTTGCGTCTACGTCTTCATTGCATATAGGTCAATAGGGAAAAAATGTAACATTCACCTATGCATCAAGCAAACTTTTGTTGACTTTGTGAAACAATGACAACTCCTAGAATTTTGGAGGTGACAAATATTTTCTGCCCTAGATTTCAAAAGTAACAATAATTTCTTCAACTATTTCTTTACTTTAAGTACCATTTAATTTGATTTCACTTTAATGGAAAAGCAAGAAAAAAAAGAGGAAAAAAGCATCACATTCAAAATCAGCCACTTTGCTCTCATTATGAGCTACCCGAGAGATTTTGCACCTTGGAGCTTTGGCTCCCAAAGCCTCTTTCAAAATGCAGCCCAGACTTCACAAAAATCAAATCTGTTGGAAGACCAATGACAAAGGTTAGCTGACGACTAATGGAGTGCAGCAAAAGTTAGCGCACTGTATATATTAAATGAAAGTTAAATGGTTCTTTTTTCGGAGCCTACCATTGAAGATAAACTCATACAAACTCAATTTTATAAGAGCACAAGGTGGTTTCTGAATGGTCAAATCTCTTGTTTACAAGGGAACTAGGAGAAGTTCTCCGCTCGGATTTTCCTTCTCCAACTGAAGATACTGCTTTCAACTAAGGAAGCACTGTTATAGATCGTGATCAAAGATTGTTCACTCATCTTTTATCCAAAATAATTCAAATTTTAGACAGGTGTCACCTGGCTCCTTCCACAAGAATGCCACCAAATGTGACAAGCTCAGTGAATCGAGGAGAAACCAGAGGGCATTTATTCAATTATTAAAATGTACGCCTAGAGACTTGAGAAATTGTTACTCATGATATATTGTCACTTTGCGCAACCTGATGTTCATCTACGTATACTTTAGACGAGTTTAGTCTTGTCAACGCCCACTGATTTGTGGCAACAAAATGAACCACAATAAGCATCTGACAATGAGGAAAGCAGTCATGCAGGGCAGCTGAATGCTTAATGACACTGTGAGCTTAATTAATTGGCAACCAAAGACACATTTTATTGAAAAGCTATTTTAAAATTATGTTCAATGACCCATGTTTACAACTCAGAAGGGCACTAGGACCTTGGTTAAAAATTTTCAACCAATTTGTCTGCCTTTTAGAGCCATAGGACCTTCATTCCAACAATAGCCAATAATTTAGTGGCGAAAAGCTAATCAAAATGATGCTGCTAAATCGTCAGCGACACGGACCTAAATAGAAATTTGAGTGTAAAAATAAATCATAACATACCTCCTTATTTCCTGAAATTCCGGAAATGTACACTTTGATAACCATTTTGAAAGTGGGAAGTGAAGAGCACTCAGCAAGAAATGAATCAATTCAATAAAGAAAAATTGATAGGCGACGATGATGATTCAGTTATTCCACATAGACAACGGAAATTAAACTTCCTCAAGTACTGTACGGATATTAATTAAATCATAATCACGCAGCGTAACATTTACACGGATCCGATTCACTTGGATGCCTTACAGCTCCCAAATATGTTGTTTCGCTAACTAACTCCTAACGTATATGTTTTCCTCCAAACATGAAAATGTGGCACATTGCAGGAACAGTAGGACCCTCTTTGTACATCCGAAAACTTCTCTACTTCTTTTTATCCTCCGATCCTCCCAATGTAGAATTCGACAAAGCACTCGCTTTTAGGCGGAAGTCAATTTAAACAATTGGAATAAATTATTTTAATACTATTTTGAAAATTTTAGTTCCATGAGTGTATGTTGGGGGGTGGTAAGTAGAGTATTTGAAAATTCTGAAAAAGTTTTCTTGGGGACAGTTAACTGCGGACGGTTGTCACACTTGTAAGTGTTTACGATTGGAAGTTTGGTAACTTTTGACCCTATGGATGATCGACGATTCGACGAAGCACGAGAATTTGGAAAGGTTTTAAACCAAAAATGTGGTAGTTTTCTGTAATTTTCCCTTCCGACACCTCATCAGCAGTCGTTTCAAGTCGTAAGTTCTGCTTCCGATTTTTCTTTCATTCCAGCAAAACCTAAGTAATGTCTAAGATCAATCACCTTATCATCATGAACTTTTTGCAATCCTTATCACTGCAAACCATTGCATTCACCTCAACTCACATTTAAACGTGCATTGATCTTATTAGATAGGAACGTGCAAACGCAACACCGTTGCAAGTCTAACATTCCTTATCCTTCAATACTGGTTTTAAATTTCCCTTTTTTTATCCTGTGAAATGATGAAGACTTGAACGGAGATGAGGTTGAACCTGCACTGAGTAATCTTGTTTCGTAAGTTTATCAGTCGGCAGGAATCAGGGCCGGATTTAGCTTTTTTCCGCCCCTGGGCAAGCTACATTTTGCTGCCCCTGGGTCTGCAATATTTCGCCACTATATTGTCAACAGTATCCCCACCTCCCCCTCCCCCTCTCCGCACTCCCAACTTCCCACGACATCTCATCTTGCCCCCCCCCTTCGTGCGCCGCCTGGGCGCGTGCGCGTAGCTGCTTCAAAATGCGCCGCGAATATATAAAATGGAATGGATGGATGAGACAAAAATAAAATGTGGAGACAAAGTTGAAGCTACTGTAGCTCAATGTATTAGTTGGAATGTATTTTCGGAAGATCAGGTTAAAAAGTTTTTCTCCGGGTTTTCAGTTTAGCAAAGCTGTCAACCAGAGCATCGACGTCTAAATTGATTATCAAGTCTGCCTTGATGTTTCAAATTGCCGTGTTGTTTAGTATCACTCCAACGAACGATCATCCTAGCGCTCAAGACCGGACCTAAGGGGCGGCAGCTTTGCCGCTCCCGTCAAGCGTCAACTCCCTTCCTTCATACATTTTGCCGCTCATCTTTTCACTTCGCTCCGTCTCTGTCTCCATTTTTTCCTTTTTTCTCGCTTTAACTTTCAATTAATCCAGTGCCAAAATTTGCCGCCCCTCAAAATTTGCCGCTATGGGCAAGTGCCCCAGTGCCCTATAGGTAAATCCGGCCCTGGCAGGAATGTCATGATAGATTTTCGTGCCCTTTCTCTTTTTACCTACCCACAATGGAACTCCAATTGAAATTACAGAGTATTCTTGTCTGTGCAAGCCTTTTCGACATGAATTTCTTTATTTAAAGTTTGGATTGCGGATTCAACCCTCCTTAATCGTTCAAACTACTACAATTTATTGAGTTGCACTCGAGGAGTAGTTTTCACAAATATCTTCTATCAATGAGATGAGAGTGCTTCTGAGGATTGTTGCCACCGCTGTGTAATTAATTATCGTTTTTTTATTCTTTCAGGCCATGGGGATCGACCGTCTGTACTCACCGTTATCCCACGTTTTTATTTTTTCTTTTTTTGTTTCCGGCCTCTTTATAAACCTTGTACAGTTTTCGCTTTATATTTCTCTGAGAAATGTGAGCAAAAATGCTTACCGAAAAATAAACTACTACCTTGGTTATTCCTTGTATTCACGTAAGTTTGTCTTTTTTCGATTGTAGTTTATCTTAATTTGGTAAGAGCACAGCAGAAAATGGGCTGCAGGAACTTCTCTATCACTTGACTTGCAGGCTGCAATAAAAAATTGGAAGCCCAGGAAAATAGGTCCTAAAAATGGATAGGCTGACTTCCTTTACGAGGTCTGTTAGATTAGAAACCGGATTTTGGTCATAAGTAGCCCACAATGCGTCCAAATTACGTTTTCTTGAGCTTTTCTGATAGCTGAAAATATATTTAAGAACGCTACGTTCACAAATTTGAAAAATCCTAATTAGCTTCGTTGGTATGTGGCTTGAAGTAAGGCAACCTCAAGGCTGTTTTGCGATTTTTTATGTTTGACCGAACTTGTCTCCCTTTTTTCGGTCTTGCACTACATTTTTCAACCCACAAGGACGATTGGAGTTTCGTCTCCATATCGTAGCCGTACACTACAGTATTGTCACCAAAAACTATCCTATCCAAAAATGTAGGATCATTGTTAGAACGTTCAAGCAGCTAAAGGGAAATTGACATTTGGTTGGATTTTCGTTCAACGGACAACAATCAAGGGGCAAGTGTACCTGAAACTCGATGCGTGTCTACATATTCTATCAAAATTGTACGTACAGAGCCTTCAGAAATATTTCTGTGTTCAACAAGCTCGAAACGACCATTTTCGAGCACTTTTGCCCGCACTTCTTCCATGTGACAAATGTCAGTTGCCGTTGAGGGTCGATTTCCATGCTCCTCATCTTTGACAAACTCCTGACCAGTTTTGAATCGTTTAACCCATTCAAAACAGTGGGAACATCTCATACAATGATCATGGTAAACTTTACTTAGCATATACCAAAAGTTTCGATACAAGGTATACCGAGTTTAAAACAAAATTTAATGTTGAATCTTTGCTCTATCAGTGATCGCATGATGAAAATCGCAAAACGCACCTGACTTACTCGTATTCAAGATGACACAGAATAAACACTGATCAAAATAAACAAAATCTGTGAACGTAGTGTTCTTAAATATATTTCCAGCTATCAGGAAAGCTCAAGAAAACCTAATTCGGACGCATTGTAGGCTAGTTATGACCAAAATCCGGTTTCTAATCCAACAGACCTCGTAGTGTTTCAATTGCGCCCATAGGTGAAGAGCAAAAGAAGAAAAAGTAAGTAATCATTTTGCAAAATCATAGGAATAAGAGGTTTTCTGAAAACACTTTCTACATCCCCATGGAAAGGTGAAAAACACTTTGTGCTTTATCCAGCTTGTTCTGCATCACCAACCAAAAACAGACAGATTCAAAACAGCAACACGGTACATTGAAAACAGCATATAGTAGCACCAACAAAACTGTCTTTTGTCCATGATTAACATTTGCGCAAGCTGAACCTATAGGTAGAAAAATTTTGTGTGCCCTAATACCATCAGATTTTACACTGTATTTTCGTTCTTGAACTGGACTACATTTTGCGATCAGGAACTACAATTTCAGGCTTAGTTTAGAAACAACGTATGGACCATTAGTTCCCCTATGCACATAATAGGTTTTAGGGATGAGCTAGAAATTGTAGTACCTAATAGCAAAATGAAGTTAAACTGTATGGCTTTGATCAGAATCAGCCAACTTGAACTAGATATTGCAATTAGGAACTACAATATCTGGCTCATCCGTAAGAAAGGGACTCTAATGATACATACGTTGTTTCTTAACTGAGCCACTATTTGTAGTTTTTAATTGTAAAATGTATCCAATTGCACTTCTTGTTGCCTAATTTCCTTTCATTTTTTATTTGATCAACATGAAACAAAATTACAGAATGGCTTGGAATTTTTCGTGAATTTCCCCGAGAGTACAAAGAATATTCCCACAAAATTTCAAGTCAAAATGTTGCTTGTTTCTCTGTTCAAAGAAATCGAACATGAGAGGCTGTTAAGCAACGTTTGAAGTAGTGAAGCTTTTATCAGCTTAGATGGCCCAAAAACACCAATTTCCTTGGAATTAGCAGATTCCAATTTTGACAGTAATCATCTAATCATGATCCTGCAGATGCATCACTCTGTTGCTTGTCAATTCCTCGATAATAGCTGCTTCATCGTTATTTTTCAACACATCGAACATTGCAGTGATAAATGTTTTACGCATACACTGACATAGGATTTTGTTCTGCTTTCAGAGCTGGTATTTATGGCAGAATGGTGGTCTGGAACAGACATTGTTTTCTACATTGATGAAGATGACTACAAAAAGTATTATGGAAAGGAACATGGATTTTTAATCATGAATCATCGCTATGACATAGATTGGTTGATGGGATGGATATTTTGCGAGCGTATCAAAGTATTAGGTGTAAGTATCTCATTGTAAGAGAAACAGTTTCACTCTCAATTCTCATTCTGAACTCTTTTTCCGCATGTGTACTGAGATATTTTACTGTCAAAATGGACTGCATTTTGCAATTTGGACCTACAAATTCCGGCCCGGTTTAAAAATAACGTATGTACCATTAGTTTCCCTATGCACATAAGTGTTTTTTCAGACGAGTCAGAATTTATAGGTCCAAATTGCAAAATGCAGTCCAAATGGGCCACTGGACAAGGTGTGAGTTGAAGCATTACATAACATGTTTCCTCTTTAAGATTTCACAAGGAAATCGCACAACGGGAAGTCTGAGAATCAACTCTTGAACAAGACAAGTATAGATGTTTACAACTAACGTTACTTAAATGGCAAAAATACAAACGTCATTCGTATGATCTAATCCCTTTCTTGATCTGTGTCAAAAATAATTGTTAATATTTCGTTAATGAGTTGATTTTCGAACTTCCTGTTGTGTAAATTGTTCTCTACAAAAGACTTCATTTTCTTCTCGTTCAGACTTTATGTAGTAGCCCATTCTAAATGAATTGATCGTATTGATCATGATTTGACACAATTGATCATATTCTGCTTATCTGTTCTACAATCTCTGCACAAGATGCTTGAATTCATAATTTTTTTTTACCTCAAAATTTTAGTGTCATTTTGACAAAAATAGTGTCAACTTGACATATTTTAACTAATCAAATCAACTAGACTAAAATGATGTGCGATGATCCAGAAAGGATTCCATGATTTAATCAGATATTCACATCTATTTTATCAGCTATTGCAACCAAACACCGTCTCTTTAACCCAATATTGTTAATTTGACACCAATAATGAAGGTAATTTTTCTTAAATGAGACTTGTTGAAAAATCAGTGGGTAGCATGAAACCTTGGCCTCCAATAAAACTGCATAATGCAATGAAACGTGCAATGATTGGTAAATTATGTTGCCTTCCTCAACAAGCTTTTAAACCAGTTCCTTTGCTCTATGATTAATGTTCTCTCCCTTTTGTCTGTAGAACGTGAAGGCCTTTGCAAAAAAATCCATCAAGTATATTCCGACAATGGGTTGGACATGGTTATTTGGTGAATTTGTCTTCCTTGAACGTCAGTGGGAGAAAGACAAGACTGCGATCGGATGACAATTAGCCCAACTGGTCGACTACCCGGATCCAATTTGGGTAAGATTGAGATTAGCTTTCGTAAGGAATCAGTAAACAAGGTGTTTTAATAACTTTGGAATTATTATACACCTACTACCAATAGTGTCTACAGGTCTGGAAAACTGGGAATTGTCTAGAAATTCCACCAGATGAGGGAAAACCTAGGACATTTTATAAAAAAAAAAAAACTAGGAATTTGAAATCCTTAAAATTCTTGGTAAAAAATATACCCTATATATACCATTTTTTTATGTTTTTAATGAAAATATTACTGCATTTTAAAAACATTTACATTTTTAAAACGTGGAAAATATTTGTGAAACTTTTTCCAAGCAATAGCATCGATATTAATCTCAATGTGCCGTAGTTGTGTTGAAAGAAACCAAACAATAATGAATGAAAGAGGGGGAAAAAACCGAGAAGCGTGCAATCTTTAGTTTTAACCCATTTGTACATCGATCTTTTAGAGTCAAAAACGTCCAATTTTGAGCGTTTGTTTGCGCATACACTTTGTCGCAGCACAGTAAAACCCCAAAATATAAAAGGAAAAATTGAAGTGCTTTGGAAATCATTAAATTTGACACGGAACAACCTTAATATTCACAAAACTTACATTATATTTTCCTTCAATTCATATTTTTTTTTCATCAATTTAAATGAAAATAATTCATGCAGAGTGCAAACATTTCAAAATCATGAGTTGAAAAACGCTGACTTTGTGAGTTTAAATATTAAAGCCAAACACAGAGCGAAGCTGTGTGCTGCCGGCGCACTAGCGCCTACAAACCTATAGGGATACTTCATGCATTGCGCAATGCTTGAAGTATTCCTGTGGGCTTGTAGGCACCAATGCGCGCCGCAGCGTGCTACGGCGCCTCAAGGAACTATTTTGCAATAGAGGCGTTGCACAGTATTATACGGAAATTTATGGCGCTCCAATATATTAAGAATGACAGGCATCCTTTAAGATTATGGAGCTTTCCTCGCAAAATAAATTAAGATAATGCAGCACAAAAAGAGAGCGGTAGTCCAGAAACTCTTTAAGTCCTAGCATCTGTATTTAATAACGTTTAGCATAATTTTTTAATTTCATTAGAGAAAAAAATGAATCGATTTAGGCAGATACATGCTTGAATATGCTGTCAAGAAGATTTAATTTTGAATCAAGAATGAAATAGCTGAATGAAAGTGGGTTTCTGCTTGATGTAAGTGACTTTTCTTTTTAAATGAGCATCTTTTCTTCCTTAAACAAGCATTATTTTCTTTCTTGAATCGTAAGGAAATATTCTCGGAGGTAAATTTAAGCATATTTCTGCTTGAATCAAGTCACTTTTTCCTCTAATGAAGTTTAAAAATTATGCTAAACGTTATCGAATACAGATACTGACAGCTCTCTTTTTTTCGTTGTCACTCAATTTAATTTGCAATGGAACTTCGTGCTTTTGAAGATGCCATTAATCAGAATGTCAGCGGTAATGCGGTAATGACACCCTTGATTTCTTCCACCTTGCTTTTATCCAAGTTTCATGTTGATTAACCAGTGCATATGTGTGTCTCCCTGACTGATAAAAGCAAGGTGGAAGAAACTAAGGGTGTCACTACCGGGGTGGATGACGTCATAAACTGAATTTTTCAAAGCGCGATATCTCGGTTAGTCGGTTAATATTCAATGCAGAGAGTTGCTGTTTTGACAGATCTTAATATTTTTAGCTAATCTACAAGAATCAAGCATTGAAACACGATTCTGTGACCATGATCATTTTATTAATTGATTGTTTTTTAATAAATGATCATTCTATTAATTTTTCGTGTCCGTCTACCGTATTAGTTGCTTCTGTTTGCGGAGGGCACAAGGTTTACCCCTGAGAAACATGAAGCAAGCAAAGCCTTTGCACGTGAACAAGGTCTCTATGAGCTCAAACACCATCTGACGCCCCGCACGAGAGGATTTACCGCTAGTATGCCGCATCTGAGAGGAAAAGTCCCTGCAATTTATAACGTTCAAGTTGCTTTTCGAGCGTAAGTCTATTCCTTTACCACCCTCAAAAAGATCTAATATTTTTTAGGATTTGTTTTATTTTTATGCTACATGCACCTTAAACTAGTTTTTTTGTTTCCTAAGAAATTCTGCTGAGCTTCTTAGTCTGCAGTTCTTCAATTAAGGCAAAACTTTCTAACCTTGTATCTCAGTTTCCAACTTTGCAGGTTTCCTGTCCTACTTAATTTTTTAAATGGTGTCGTAGAAAGGCGCACCATATCACCTACAGCTCTGTGTTCGCATTTTCACGATGCATCCATTGCCTTGAGGGCTGTTGCTTTCGGAACGCAAGCTCAGGCGTGCATTGTTGGTGTCTCAGGGCATCTACCTTGGAGCATTGGTCATCGCACTGACATTCTCTAACGTCATTGCTTTTTCGGATGTTACCGAGATATATACTCTGAGAGGTCTGTGGTGCGGGGTCGTATCATCGAGGCAGCGAAGAGTGAGATCACCTTAGCCAAGTGTATCCAGTGTCTATCGTGTCATTGTCGTTTATATTGATCAGTTTTACAATTTGTCTACGTGCGTTGGATCTTCTCATCCCCCCCCCCCATTACAATGGAGAACTACTCAAAGTCCATGCTCAAAAACTTCCATCATTTTTCTTTCCTGTGTGAAGCAAATTCTGAAAAATCTCCTTGATGTCAATTTTTTCTCCTCTAAGGAAATAAAATAGGTACAGTCCCCTCCCTTGTACAACTATATTAATTCATAGGGGAAATGAAAATTAGCACAGATTCTACTCTAAAAACTGATAAGAAGAGTGCTCAATAAAATCACTCTTGAATCAATACCAAAACGAACATCGATTCGGCAACTTAAAAATTTCATATAGAATGGAAGTTGTAGCCAGTGAAAAGGGAGGGAAGCAGTGATTTTTAACACCGCAAACGAGATGCTCGCTTTGGGAGTTTCACCATCGACATGCTCAGTCTTTAAAATTAGAATTACTAGCCCTCAACATGCATACCTACGTGTAGTTCGGAAAACTATTGTATAAAACAGATAATATCTTGAGAATGGACCACCAGACAAGGTAAAAATTTAAGCATTCTGACATTTGTTTCCTCTTATTGTTCCTCCTTGTGTCTTTTCAGTCTTACCATCGATGTGGCTCAGTGAAGTCTAATTGAAACCATCGTAATCATACATTTCCTGCATCCATGTTGACTATTTTTTATTGCTTGATTTTCCTCTGCTTCGAGATGTGTTGAAATCAAACCGAATCAGTTTCATAGTGTATTAAAATTGATGAATGTAAATACTGATCGTATTTGAATTTTTAGGGATGATGAAGATAAACCAACCATTGGTACACTGCTAGCTGCGAAGCGCTTACAGGCGCACATGTTCATTGAGCGCATCCCCCTTGAATCTGTACCAGAAGGGGAAGAGGAACAAAAAGTGTGGTTGAGAAATTTGTACGTGCAAAAGGTAAGGTTACGCTTGATGGAGGGCTTGAGTGCCAAAAAGGCATCTCTCAGTTTCAGAAGTTCCTCTTACATTTGAATCGAAGTATGCGAAAACGTCCGATGTCCATTTTTTTTGGATTTTGAGTTTTTTGGCTTAACGTCATCTTCGAGGGTAGGCGCATCTATGTGTAGACGGATTTGACCTGTTTTTCGTTTTTTCGCCTCCATTTAGGGGGTCGAACCTGAAAAGTATGCGAAAACGTCCGATGTCCATTTACGAGGGTCATCCAATGAGGTTCCCTACCTCTTATCTTCCAAACGGAAAGAGATAAATCAAATCGGTAAAAAAGTTCTTACAAGGCATACTCTAAGCTTTAAAAGAAGCTCAAGATTTTGAAAATTGGTCGAGGGGTTCGCAAGGAAACTTAATTTTACTGCAACAACTTCCTGTCGCCGCGCGCCTACCTTCGGAGTCTGGATGCGCGGAGAGTCGATTATTTCCGACTTGGGTTTTCGCCGCTAAGCATCATATCAAAAAGAAATTTGAAGGTTTTTATTGAGTAGACCTTACCTTACTTTTTGACATAGTCTCCGCCTCTGTTTTGACATTTCTGGTGTCAATATTGTAGCTTCTTGATGCCTTCCGCGTAGAGGCTGGCTCTTGTCTTGGCACCGGAATCCGTCATTGACAGCGCTCTGTACTTCCGAATCATTCGGATTCCGCTTTCCACCGAGGAAGTTTTTCAGCTCAGTAAACAGACGAAAGTCACATGAGGCTGAATCGTAAGAGTACGGAAGATGGAGGGAAATTTTCTTATGCAAAGCAACTGATTCGAAAGTGTAGAGGGCTTGTCAATGACTGGTTTCGGTGCCAAGACAAGAGCCAGCTTCTACGCGGAAGGCATCAAGAAGCTGCAATATTGACACCAGAAATGTCAAAACAGAGGCAAAGACTACGTCAAAAAGTAAGGTAAGGTCTACTCAATAAAAACCTTCAAATTTCTTTTTGATATGATGCTTAGCGGCGAAAACCCAAGTCGGAAATAATTGACTCTCCACGCATCCAGACTCCGAAGGTGGGCGCGCGGCGACAGGAAGTTGTCGCAGTAAAATTAAGTTTCCTCGCGAACCCCTCGACCAATTTTCAAAATCATGAGCTTCTTTTAAAGCTTAGAGTATGCCTTGTAAGAACTTTTTTATCGATTTGATTCATCTCTTTCCGTTTGGAAGATAAGAGGTAGGGAACCTCATTGGATGACCCTCTTTCTTTGAATATTTTCTTTGAGCCGATGACTTTAAATTCTGCGAAAACGGTACATGATAGCCCATGATTTTTGTTTAACAACCTGTATAAGTAATCGAAACTTTCCCAATCTTTTTTCAATTTTTAACTTGTTTAAGACGCATTTCAAAACCATTTTACTGACTGTAAATTTTTTATAGATGGAAAGTCATGATTAATGCTAAAGTTTCCGTCCGGTAAATGTATTACTCCAGTATTTGTCTTGTTCTTTCTCCTTAGCATGAGTTTTCCTGTTAAAAAGTTCACACTTTATTTTGTTTCACATCGATTCACCCTACTTTATATAATTACACTCGATTTTATGCATTCTAGGCAATCCTAGAGTAGAGCAAAAGAGTGGAGTGGTTGCGCGGACTGCACCGCCCCGGAAAATCCATTTTGAGACGGTAACTTTTGCAACGCTGGGGTGCCGTCTCGTTACGCTCTAAGGACAAGCTTGATACACGAATTTGTAGCATTTTGAATCTAATTTCATTTGAAAGGATCTCCTTACTTTAAAGAATAGCTGAACAACAGTTACAAGCAAAAAACCATTAAAAAACGAAATTTTGAAAATTTTGGGCTATCTATGAGAACCCTGTAGTGACCGCAATTTTCATCAGAAAAATTTCAAACCGGGTTAAATAAGACCGAATTTTTATCTGCTTTCATGTGAGATCCACAAACTCTGTCTTAAAATCAACGGCTTTGGCGATAATAGCCGTAAAACGAGAGAATAACCTATTTTTGACCGTTTTTTTATCGGGGGGGGGGGGCTTGGAGGGGTCCCCATGATTGTTCGAGGGGGTAATTTTGGATTCTCGTTAAGGTCCCCCTATAGATGAGAAATTAAATGAGAAAAAAGTTCTGCTCCCAAAACATGCGATGGTAGCCGAAAAACGAGAGAAAATAACCGATTTTTGACAGTTGTTTCGATTATGGAGGGGTTTTCGGGGGGGTCCCCATGATTGGTCGAGGGGGCAAATTTGGATTCTCGTTAAGAACTCCCTATAGATGAGAAATTATATGAGAAAAAAATTTCTGCTCTCAAAACGTGCGCTAGTAGCAGAACAACGAGAGAAAATAACCAATTTCTGACTGTTTTTTTGATGTTGGGGGTTTTCGGGGGGGTTCCCATGATTTGTCGAGGGGGCAAATTTGGATTCTCGTTCAGGACCCTCTGAAGATGAATAATTTCACTCTACTTTATATAATTCTAATCGATTTCATGCATTCTAGGCAATCCTGAACACATATCTTGAGGGGCAATCTCAAAGTATACGAAAACGTCCGATGTCCATTATTTTTCTTCTTCCGCCGTCACGTAACTTTCACTGAAGCCTCGAAGAAAAGAGAAATATTTTTTTTTGTGTTACTGGAGGTCTGACATTATGTTTTACTCTAGTTTAAAGGTTATTGGAGGGGTCAAAAATAATGGCTTTTGGACAGATTTTTGCAATGTATGCGAAAACGTCCGATGTCCAAAGCCCTTTTTTTAAAATAACTCAGCACTGAATGGGAGTTGGAATGGGATACAGTTGTGTGCCTTTTCTACAACCCTTTACTAAGAAACACATGCCTTGATTTTCTTCAAAACGCCGATTCTAAAGGCCTCCACAGTTTTTTGCGGTTTACCAAAAGTTGATTTTTTGGACATCGGACGTTTTCGCATACCTCGATTCATTTGTACTCTCGATAGGGGAAAAAATGCTTGTAGAGATATGGAAATTTAACGGAATTTTCTTTACAGTTTATAGATATCTTAAGCACAAATCTCAAGTTTAATGATCCAATAGTTATCTCACAAAAAAAGAAAGTGTTGGTAGTAATTCTGATAAACTGTAACAAAGGAGTGCCCTTTTCCGACTAAAGTGCTCAATTGGATGTCTTTTTGTGATAGAGGTACCTATGATAATGTATGTCAGCATTGAGTGAATCTTATAATAGTATATTTAAATGAAACATCAATGATATCTATTTTTTTTACTCCAGGTACTATCTAATTTTTTTGTTTTCAAATTTGAAAAAGAAAGTCATCTCTGTTTTGAAATCCAATGGAAGTAAATGATCAATTGCGTGCAGCAGAGAATTAAATCGGTCAATCTCAAAATTTGCCGGAATTGAAACTACTAGAAAGACAGTAAAAACCGTTTAAATCAACCTCTTTTAAAACTCAGAGAGGTAGCATATGAAAGCAATTAATTACTGAGTAATGAATAAACTAAAACTGTTCGATCAGTATAGTTTTTACTGTTCTTCTCATATCATCATTTCTTGTGCCTAAGTCTTTTTGAGAATGACGGATTCAATCGTATTTTGATGGTTACAGCTTGGAGATCAGCAAATAATTTGGAGATCTGTTTGAACATCACAGAAATATTTGTAAGACAGGGTTGATAACATCATCCTTCGCATTGGTAAAGAATACTATGGTGTCCTTTGCTTTGGGTTTCAGATTGATGTAAATGGAACAACCAGTTTAATTGTATCACCAGTGGATATTTCAAGGGTTTCATGAATCAATGCTAAACATCGCCATATTGAATTCTGACAAAAATAAATAAACCAAAGCAATGTAAATTGCGAACTTCATTGAGCTTAAGGTCTTTTCCTTCTGCTAGTCATCATGTGAGCGGTCTCGCTAGGAATATAAACTTACAACAACAATAATATAAGTAAAACAATTTTTTTTTAAAACACTTCGATGTTGGGCCTATGAGCCTCCCAAGAACTGCCATGTTCCTAGTTTTTGGATACCCTGACGACAAGTTAGACAGTCAAGTTTGATATGCATATTGCACCTGTAATTCAATTCAATAATGTGATGGTATGCCAAAGGTGCTTACTTTGTTGTGTATTAGTTTCTTCAATAAAAGATAAAAGAAACTAATACACAACGAAGTAAGCACCTTTTGCATACCATCACATTATCGAAGTTAGACAATTTAAGACAGCAGTCACTGAGGTTATTTGTGATTATACTCAGTTAACTTTCAAATCTCTTTAATTATGTGGATGTTATGTTTTCAGGACCAAATGATGGAAAGCTTTTTGAGAACCGGCGATTGGTTCAAAGAAAGTGGTGTTCGACCAGTTAAAGGATTTAACATAAATAGACGCCCATATACACTCCTTAATGTTGTATTTTGGAACTCCGCAATCAACTGCCCGCTATTGTACCTAGCCTCTAGTTGGGCCAAAAACTTCCTCGCCTCGATAACCTTAACGAAGGCTGGAATCTCTGTTTCTGTCTGCTTTCTTCTATACCTAGGCTGTGAGTTCACATTTTGAATTTTACTATTTTACACTGAAAAACTATCACATCAGTCTTTTATTATATTTTAATACTACTTTTGCAATTAAGGGATGAAATCAAAATGAGTAAAGGAATTTCCTGCCTGGAATTGTGTATTTTACCAAGAGAGATCTAGGTTTGCTTTGCGGGTTCCTCGCAAGGAAATTTAGGGAGAAAACTAGAAGAGGGGTAATATCCTATAAGAATTGTTTCAAAAACAAGTTCTTCAGACTTTTTTCTTTGAAATTATTTACAATTAATGTATGCAGTTTAACAGGGTATGTCCATCATTCTCTCAGCTTTTCAACAAGCTGAAAAATTTGAAATTTAGATCGCTGAGAAAGTTTGTTGTACTGGACCGACCCTCTATTCTTGTAGATCCCAAAATAGAATCTATATGTATGCCTTGAATATTGGAACAACAAAAACAAATGAACAGTCCGACAAAAGGCAAGTTGTAAATAGTCTACCTATCTCTTTTTTTTTTTAAACTCTTCTAATATCAATGCGCCAGCTTTCTAATGCCAGCTGCGAAAAAGTCTTCGCTCAACTTTGAAGCATGGAAGTGATTGCTTTTTTGACCTCATCATCATTGGGAAACTTAAGCTACCCCTGTGACCAGATTTTGGTTCCGGAAAAGTGTGCAAATCACCCAGGGCCTAATTTGCTGAGTATAAAGGATTCAAAGTGTCCCACCTAAAATTTTGCAATAAAGAGTGGTTGCCATTGAATGTGGAAAACCACTCTACAAACGCAGCAATTCAGATATATCTTCACTTTTGGACCCACGTGATGAAGGGGTTGGTCCAGATATAGCTTCACTTTTGGACCCACTTGATGAAGGGGTTGGTCCAGTAAAACGAACTTTCTATGCAAACTAGTGAACCGATTCTTGACTTCTTCAGGTAGTTGGGTATCTGGAAGTATGACTAATACACCTCATATTACCGCATTCATTTATTGTTAATAGTATTGAAGAAATAAACAGTAGAGCTTACTATCGGAACGCCCCTTTTATGAAGTAGTTTTTGCAACAGCGGGTTCATAAATTTACAAACATACTTTGTGAAAATAAATTGTCTTTTTTTATTTACCTCTTCCCTGAAATGTTGCACTATTAGCATTTAGAGTGCTGATAGAGCTGAAGAATGGGAAAAAGACATGAAAGAAATAAAATTATTGAAGAATGTCAGAAGAAAGACATGAAATTTATTTATTTATTACATTTTAATACATTAAATGCACTGCTTTTGTAAGTTGGAGTTATATTTCTAAAGTCCACGCCAAATAAGTTTATGCACTTTTAGACTGCGATGGAAGATCGTTTGATGTCACTGCTACATGTCAAGAAAATGCCAGAAGCAAGATGGTGCATCTTCTGTCGCAGTCTAAAAGTGCGTAAACTTATTTGGCGTGAACTCTAGATTATTCTTCATCTAACCATAATTTAATCAGCTACTTGATTTATGTGCAATAATATACTGCAAACTACATAGGGTGCTCAAAAAGTAATGAACGTTTTCGTTTTTTGAGCAAACAGAAACAGCTATTCATTTGCGGTTAGCGTGTGCTTAAAGTAGACGCAATTACCAATAAAACAAGAACAAGAACAGCTCTCTAACTTAAAAATTGACTGAGTGACAGGGTTTTGAAAATGATCTGTCAATGGACACCCTCCAGGATTTTTAGCTACATATATGTTTGTCAATAAAAAAAAAGTTAAATGAGAATTGAGTGTTTTTATTGAAAAAATTTACAAAATCTTACGGAAATTGATGAACTTCAAGCTTCTTCATCGAAGGACACGGCTGACTCAACATTCGGTTGTTTTTTTTAGTATTTTTCACCACTTTGAACACAAAGCTTCAGCCGTTCTGCCCACTTCACAAGGATTGTCTTTTCGAAGTCTTCTTGACGAAGGGTTTTGAAGAATTTTTGAACAGCGGTTTTGATCTCGGCTATGGAATCAAACCGTGTGCCTATCAGAAATTTTTTTAACTCAGGAAAGAGTCATTCCCTAGCCGAGATCAAAACCGCTGTTCAAAAATTCTTCAAAACCCTTCGTCAAGAAGACTTCGAAAAGACGATCCTTGTGAAGTGGGCAGAACGGCTGAAGCTTTGTGTTCAAAGTGGTGAAAAATACTAAAAAAAACAACCAAATGTTGAGTTAGCCATGTCATCCGATGAAGAAGCTTGAAGTTCTTCAATTTCCGTAAGATTATGTAAATTTTTTCAATAAAAACACTCAATTCTCATTTAACTTTTTTTTTATTGACAAACATATTTGTAGCTATAAATCCTGGAGGGTGTCTCTTGACAGATCATTTTCAAAACCCTGTCACTCAGTCAATTTTTAAGCTAGAGAGCTGTTCTTGTTCTTGTTTTATTGGTAATTACGATTACTTTAAGCACTCGCAAACCGCAAATTGATAGCTGTTTTTGTTCGCTCAAAAAGCGAAAACGTTCATTACTTTTTGAACACCCTATGTACTTACAAAACTTTTTGAATTACATACAATATATTTTCAAATTGTGTACAAAATTATTCTTGATCCTCTAGAAATTCATTCAGTGCTAAGAAGTGCTTTTCTCTAGAATATTCGTATAATTCTTCTAAAATTGTGAAACTGAATTTAATGATTGCTTTCAACTCATGCGGTAGATTATTATGTAGAGACTTTGCCTGATGAGTTGTTTGCCAGTCCTTTTCAGTCTCTTTTAGACTCTCCCTATCCATAAAATAGTGGCCAGTGTTATATCGGTGGAAAGATTTGTGTTTTTCTGGTTTATTTTCTCTAGTATTACTGCAACCTTTATCATTTCGAATTTTTTAGCTTTCATGGTATTGACAGGACTGAAGAATGGGGGAAAGACTTGAAGAAAAATCAAATAAAATAGAAAATGTTGATGCAAAGATATGGAATTTTTTTTAGAAAGGCTGGATTTCTTCTGTTTGTCACCTATTCCACTATGTATCCCTCAATGTTTTACAACTGTTGGGATCAACATTTCATATGGTTTCAACTCCTACTTTTTTCTTCCTTTTTCTGGAAATAGGATGGAGAAATGAGAGGTCAAGTTTTAAGTTCATGGTACTCAAAAATTACTCCCTTTTTTGTCTGCGCAGTGATTGTCAACATAAAAAGTATGGTAATATTCATGAAGGTTAGGGAATTTTGACTCTGTCAGCTGTTTACTCGTTGTCATTTACATATTGCAGCCAATCTGCACTGATCCTTTCTCTTTCACCCACTGACCCTTATTATGATCTTTTTTTTCAGTTCAACAAGCTGCCAAGCGGTTAATAGATACAACCCGATCTTGTAAGGGATCGTCTTATGGGAAGAAATAGACGTTTTATCAGTTTACCTTGTAAACATCCGACTTGACCTTTCGATTCACTTGGTTTTAGATGACTGGTCAATCGATAAAATAATAGTTGTATCTCTTTAAAAATTGTTGTATCCACAATCTCAGTGAGAAATGTTCAGTCAAATCGGAAAACTCCGATATTTAATTCAAGTTTTCCAACAGGTTACACTTTTTTTTTATTAATTGATGAAAAAACTGGCACACTCGGCTACTTTTGTCTTTAACATAAGTAGGACCCTTTTTAGTATTTTATTATTAAAATGGTGTGGGGGAGCTGTGCTATATTGGAAGGTTACTGGAGTCTCAAGGCAGCCATATCTAGTTTACTTCTCCATCCGATAATTTATCAGTTTATTTTCTTTTTTATTTGTATTTTTCACCCTGTTTTTAAATCAGTACCCATGAAAAGATAAAAGTCTTTCGGAAAAGTCACTTAAATTGTGTCAATCCTTCCGGAATTGAAACCCACAGTAAGAAATGTTTTTTTGAAGTACATAGCCCTTTTCTTTAATTCTAACCCTTTTCACGACAAGATATTCTGCTATCTACTCGGATTTAAAAGGCAATGCCTTGAGCACCTTTCTCTCTCCTCTTGAATTTATAAACTGTATTTTTTAAAATATCGGACTGTCCACCGAAAAAAGCACCTCAGTGTGCTAAAACTCAGAATTGAGTATCGGTATCTGAGCACAGAAAGGTACTCTGTGAACCTTTTGAAACAAAAAACGTAAGACTAAACTTTAAATATGGTAGGTAAAAGTTCGTAAAAATTAGTTTCGAGGAAAACCTGTCCAAAATTCCAATTTGCCAAGTCTGAGGTACAAAATTGTTGGATTATCATGCATCTCCACCGCCATTTTGCCATTTCAATATGAACTATTTCTTGTAACCAATCATGACCTTTTCCTCTTGACTCAAGAGAGAGTTTTCTCTTGATATCTCAGAGTCAGATTTTTCAAAAAATTGCTCAATTTTTATTTCTGCTTCTGTGGACAGAAGTTTCTTTTCCCATGGACGGTCATGGTTGTAGATCTTGACTGTGATGGAAAGTTATGTTTTATTATTTTTTTTTTCTTCCAGTGACCTTCCATTATGAAGCCATTCTCCAAGATGTTAATATTTATTGTTGATATTTAAGTCCCCCCTTATTTTTTAGTCACTTGAGACATGTATGCTCAAGGTAATGTATAATACTCACTTCAAATGTTTAGATCTGCCATAATGATGAAATTCAAAAATACTTCCATGAAATTTGTGTTTCGACCACAGCAAAAATTATCAAGTTCTTCAGATTTTTTTTTTAAATTGAAACGCCCAGAATCAAAAGCGACAATCTCCATTTTGATTACTAAAATTTTTGCAAATATTGTAATTTCTAAGGAAGAGTAATCAATAAGACTTCGTGTGTAAAAAACTTTCACAATTTTCTTGCTCACATGTAGAAAACTCATGAGAAAGAACGCAAGTAGGAGCTCACCTGTTCTCTTTATAATAAATTAAAGCGATCGCCAAATTTCTAGACAGCGCAATGGAGATTGTTGGTTTTGATCCCAAGCACCTCAATTGTGGTTATCTTCTAAGTGAAAGTACCTCACCAATTCTTGGCGATTTAATAGGTCTATTTAATTTAATGAGACAGGTGAGCCACGCCATTTTTGTTGAAACCCTTCAGAAATATTGAAACCCTTAACGGAACTTAGTAACATAGTCAGTAAATTTGAAATCAGTCTTTCATCTTCTATTCTTAATTGTTACGGTATTTAAAGGTCACTGTTAAGAATCATTGTTCATTCCTTTTTTCAATTAAATTAAATTATTTGGAAATGAAATAAGGTGGAAGGTACGTCGAGTAAATTATACTGAATTTGTAAATAGTAAATTTTGCCACTCGCTTAAGTTTAGGTGAAGACTTGCATTAACTCGTCAACAATGACGTTCCATCAATGCCGGAAAATCTCATCAGAGGCTTTTTAATTTTGAATTTTGCATAGGTTAATTGAATTTTTTAGTTTGTAATTTTCTAATTCTGCTGTTTTCATGTTATTTTTAAACCTAGTAATTTTTTTATTGATTTTCTTGTTAATATTATTTTAAATGCCTGACATTCTATAAACTTGAGAGAAAATGTTTATTTGGAGCATGAAAAGATTATGGAGGGGTGTACATATAATAATTACTTTTCTGCAGTAATTTAAAGGTGTAAATCAGCTTGGTCATTAAAGGAAAAGTTAAATTATCCGGTACGAGAGTGCTGTTGAATCATAAAAACACAGGAAAGCAAAACGGCAGGTACCCCATATTAATCTATTTAGTAATGGATGATGTTGAAAAGCCTAAAATTACATGCGCAGGTGTGATTTTGGTGAAATTTTAATCGTTTCGCCACAGCCTGACGGTTTGAAAATCTCACTGACTCAGCTATTGGTTTTTAATTGAATTTCCTTGCTAACCTCAGTTCTTAATAAAACTTGACTCCCTCTGTGGATGTGTCTGTAGTTGTTGATGATCCGTTGAGATAGAAAATCTCGTTTTGACTGTAAGGCAAATCTACAAGAATGAAGGTTTAGTTTGTTCTTGGATTTTCTTCCTTCTAATCCATAAGTTTTCTCTGTAAGTATGACTTGCTCCCCAAGTAGATGCTGTTAGCTCAATTATATTTATACTATGTTTTTGATAAAGGTCGACTCTACACGCGCCCCCTAAGAGTTTAAAACATGTAGCCTTAGTGCTTCCATTTACCTTTCCTCCTTTTCTCTTCTATCAATAGTGTTGCTGTGTTATCGTAGAGAGCAAAAGGAGCTGAGTGCAAAAGTGAAGTTTTGAGGAAATGAATCTAGTAGCGTCAAAGCAGAAAATTTTCTTGAAAGAAGCCTCTACTGATCACTGATGATCCAAAAGACCCTCGGAAATCATTTGGATGTTTGAAAATCGATAAATCTAATTTAAACTGAATTAAAAGGGCCTTTTTTATTTTCATGTTGGGCAAGACGGTCATAACTGCCATCTTCTGCATGCCTTAGTGGTTGTATTTTGGACACACAGCCAACAAATTTTAAAGTTACAAATAGGCGGAAAAGGCACCATTTTATTTAATAAGTACTGCTCTCTGGCAGAATAATGTTTCTTACTGCTGTCCCGCAAGAAGTAAAGTCAATATTTGTGCATTTACTGTTGCAGTGGGCAAAGAGCCGCGAAACTAGAGGAGCAAACAAAGGAACGAAAGGAATAAAGTACATAACATTTTATCCAAACAAGATTGCTTTCTCATGTGTCCTGTTTTTATAGAAATTAGACGAATTTTGCTGTTCCAGCTGAATCAATGGGTTCATCTAAATTAGATTAGACGAATTTTGAAGGAAACTTGCTTTCAAAAATGTTTTCGTTGCTACTCTCTTCGATAATATGGCACAGTGATTAAAAGCTGTTCGTAACTACTGAAATCTCTAAGTCAATATTCGGACCAAAAGTTTCATCAACCACCTATTACTACCCATCAACATAGATGTTATGTTTAATCTATTTATTCTCTGATTAGTACCTAGTCTATGTTTGTTTATTACACTACATTTGATTCGCCTTAAGAATTCTTTAGATCTGTTTTTTTATTTAGTTTTACCAAAAACGTCTTCTATTTTTAGGAATTTAAATTTGACCTTACGTTTATTTAAGTTTTCCAAGGTTGTAGTTGTTATCCAGTTAGTTTTTAAATGGAAAAAAATAGAGTAGAAGAGCTTATTACTCAAGTAAAGTAATCAGGAATGATTTCTGGTGAAAAACAGGCGCAGGGTGTCTGTAGGCGAAAATTTCACGGAGAAGACATAATTTATTTCCATTAGTTTGATTTTATTCTATCTTCTAAGCTTTCACATCTTTCAGAGCTTTTTTAGAAAATTATCTATAATGTTGACAAGGAAAACTGAGACCTTCAAGTTTTATTTTCAAATCCACAGTATATTAATGACTCTTTTTTACCTAAATGTCAGTCAACTGTGGATGGATTAGTCAGTGAATCATAGAGGCGGATCCAGAAAAATGGCATCATTGGTTTCTCTCCATTTTAACCTGTGTTGAACAATCGCTTCTCGATGGTCCCTCTGAGAATGGATTAATTTCCCTAAGTTTAAGTGGGGAGGAAGCAGTGTTGCCAACTTGCTAGATCCACTAATGGTGAATTATATCATTTTGGTAAGAGTAAACCCGGGGAAGCGAGGAAATTCTCTTCCCTGAGAAATGTAGACACCCTGGTTATAATATGTATTTCTCAGCTGTGCTGAGTAACGTTGAGATTTCTCAAATTTTAAAACAGCAAAATCTGGATCCCCTGTCAAGAATTCAAGAACGGCTCTTCTTTATGATTTACTTTGCTCAAGTTGTTTCTACATTGTGAACCAGATATTATCCCAGCAATTATCTTAAGTCAATTCCAAGGCAACAAAATCAATTATTTTTAGAGTTGATCTAAGTGTTCCAGTTAAAACGGTGTGGATTTATCTCTGTATTTTTTGTTGGTAGAGAGTAATTGGAAATTTTTGGTAAAAGTTTTCTGGATAAATGTTCTTATTTTATTGAACTATTGTCTACTCATATTGTTGATTTTCTCGTATCCATTGTCTTCTTGAGATGAGTGTTGGATCCTCTCTGAATATTTTCCGTAATCTAAAAACTTCGATGGTTTTCTTCTTTCTCTGACTGTCCCTCAACAGCTTTGATTCAGAATACACTAGTGAACCTACCTTGCACTCCTCCAATACTTTTGATGGTACAACATTTTTTGGGAAGTTGTCCTACATGAAGCAAAGTCCATGTACCAGTTTTCCAGAAAATCTGAGGGGCTTGGAAGACAAGGCGCATGCATAAGAGCAGTTTTTGAAAAAATTAAGATATTCATGAACTCAACTAAAACTGGTTTGAGTGTATGTTTTGTGAAAAATTCACAACTAAAATCCAACTTTGAAGCTTCCAAAAGTGAGTTTAAACTTCTTTTCTGCCACAAGGCTCCATGTAACTTTGAAACTTTAAACCTGTATTTCTTGTAATAGCAAAAACTGCACTTATGCGCCTTGTCCTTCGAGCCCCTCAAATGGGGTTTTTGAATCAAGCCGATTTCCAATCCTACTCATGTTATACAATGTCATGAAAATGGATCCATTTTTGCGACAGAAAATTGCCAATATCTTGTAAACCTTATGTTGTAGAGCAGAATGGAGCAAATTTTCCAGCCTCCCTGTGCATCTGGAACTACATTATAGTTCTCACAAGTCCAGGGCTCAGGGGCTCTCTGGCCTCAATTTTAATTTTTGCCCTTCTCACTTTAAATGATGCAGTGCAAATGGACCACTTTTGCAACAGAAAATTGCAAATCTCTCCTAAACCGTAGGTCAAACAGCCAAACGGACGATATTTTTCAACCCTCCTAACCCTTGGGAACTACTTTTCAGGTCTCCACAGGCCCATGGGGTGAATAGGTCTTCTCATCATCTCACTAAGTTAAGAAGCCGAATCTAAGTATTTGTTGTTGTAAGATATTGAGATATTGCTCAAATGAAGAAAAATTAGAAGGAGATGGTGGAGATGTTGGAAATCTAAAGTCTTTCAAAATTAAAAGTCATTGAATACTCTTTTATAGTAATGTATTTATATTTTTTTTGATTACAACCAAAGTAAGATAAAATAATCTAGAATAGTTATTTCTAGTTAAGGAAGTTGTGAGGAATTTTTCGAGAAAAGGGATTTTCATGAATTAAGATAAAAAGGTAACAGTGATTATCTCTCCCAGAAATCATCATAAATTATTCCTTTGAAAAAGACAAAGTCTTGAAATATTAACCTGACCAGTCTTATCACTAGCTCCAAAATCCAAATTAATACATGCAAGCAGTAGTATTATAAAAAATGAGAAGTAGTATTTGATGGAACGGGCTTTCTCTTTCTTGGAAAGACTTTTCAAAGAAATAATATACATTAGAGAAGCACCGATATGAGATCAGAAGAGAAAACTTAAGGTGGTGGAGTAGCAAGTACTTTGGAAAGCTTCATTTGAGAAAGTTGTTTTAAGACTCACACTCAGATTAATTTGACAAAGAACATCTAAGTTTGCTACCTAAAATATTTCCGTGATAAAGAGAAACGTATAAACATTTGAATGTCGCCAAATTTCCCTTGATGAAATTTTGAAAGCAAGTCACACATATTTTTCACGGAAATTATCAGATATTTTAGATTGAATTACAAACAAAATTGTCTGGAAAATTTGAGGAAGAATATTTACAACCTTCCTGATGAATTTGAATCTTATCGAAGGAAATTTAGCTACACCTGAAAGTTCGTACAGCGTTTTTCCTCAGCACAGCAACTCCCGGTCTTGGGGCTGTATTCATAGTTGTTCCTTAAAAAACATTGTTCTTTGGGAAGCCCCATTTGGTTTATTTGGTGAATAAGGGAGGTTGAAGGAGATCCTTAGCATGGCGTCATATGTATGAAGGACATTTTTAATAATTTTCAGGTAAAATTTAACGGTAGAACTTTAAAAACAGGCTCTGATAAAGGATTGCAATGATTTCTGTCCATAGAAAAAAAAAAAAAAATACAGAAGAGAAAAGACTATGTTAACGACCTCCTTAAACCTTCCTTAGCTGCTATGTAAACCAGATTCATAAGAAAAAGATCTGCTTAAGGAAGGACAATGAATACAGCTCATGTATCGTCAACTCCTGCACGTATCTTGGTTGCGCTGTTACAGTAATTCTTACTTACATTTTACGTGTACATAAGAGAACCATCGGATAAATTAGGAGGCCCCAAATTTCCAGTGAAATCTCTTTACACTTTTGAGAAAAGACTCTGAAATGTTCCGACTAATTTAGTTTTCCCTTGAAAAAATCAAATGCTCTTAGAATTACTAAAATCGCCCGGACGAGATATGTTCCTTCGTGCTGGAGACAACAAGGTATGAAATGTTAAGAGAAGTCTGCGGTTGGTTAGTAATCTTAAGATATCTGAGAGAGATATACAAAGAAGTAATGAGTTGATTACTTCAATCAAAATCGTAAACACATTAAAATTTTAGAATCTGTCAACATTAGAAACATTTTTATCACAGTTTAATCATACAAAAAGTTAAATCCAAAAATAAACAGCTGAACAGCTCAGGAAGAGAAGCTACACTTTCAAAGATTTGACGAGCTGCGCATTCTTAGGACTAAATAACTAATCTTTAAAGTACTTAGTACAATTGCACAGTGCACAAAATTATAGGTAAAACTAGTAGTCAAATGGACAACGTTCAGTAGTGAGGAAGTGAGTCCATTGCGGTGATTTCAAAATCGTGCAACTTCTTCTTTACCCTAGAGAAAACTGAATACATGTACAGTGATCAACTTGCAGAATTTGCTTCACTTAAAACTAACAAATTTTTGGTGGAAAAACTAGAACTGTTCAAAATTTGGAGCGCTCTTCAGAAAAAGGAAAAGTTGCACTATTTTGAAGAAACTGGAATGGACTTCTTCCATGGACTTCTGGAATGGTTCTTTTCTGCTTGACGCGGTTCAATTACTATAGTTCGAATTGTTTAAAATCACTGTAATAATGGTGGAAATTGGTGAGTAACTCATTCACTGACTCCCATGTGAAGAAAATAAAAAACTTAATCTTTGCTGAAGGAATGAGTCAAACTTGCAATTGATCATGACTGAAAACAATAGAACTTAACTCTTAATCTCAGCTCAAAAACTAGTAGACAGGAGAAGACAAAAAGCTAGGTTGAATATGAACAGATTTTCATATTGACTGTTTAAACTATATACGAACCAGTTTAAAGGTCATTCAAAAATGATGTTTGATGTAGACAAAAAAGGTATTAATTCAGGAGTTATTCGATAAAAGGGCGTATGAGGCTTCCAATAGTACTACGATTGTACAACGTAATTTTTGATTACAAGCAACTTATCTGAAAGCTCTGCTATAAATTTTTCCCTGAATCTGCTCAAAATTTTTCCTCACTATTGATTTGAAGAAAGACGACCGTGAGTGAATTTCATTTGCTGCAAGTGCTATGAAAAATTACACAATCTTGGTGGCACTGCAAGGATTATGCACCCTTTCACCAAAACCGTCCTCAATTTAGAAACAAGCATATACTACAAATTTTATTTAAATACCCGAATCTGATGAAAATTTAGGTCCCTGAAAATGTTTACTCCTACCTTAATAAAAGGCAATTAAACAGCTGGAAGTACAAAAATAAGAGAGAAAATACATTCACTTTCAGCTTTTAATTGGAGCGTTTGCAATGAAATATATTGTAAACTAAGAGAATGAAAACCAAAACTCATAATAATCAAGTGATAGAAGAAAAATTTACAGTTTATGTTGTTGAGCTTAAGTAACCGTTAATAGAGAGAGCTCAAATTCTGTTGGTTGCGATTAGCTTCAATTTAGGTGAACATGATCTCCAAATTCAAGTAAAAATAACTGATAATCATCCTTCTGATTCAACTGATTATCATTAGAATATCTCCTAAACTCAAACCAACTCCTACGTCAAGTTAAATCTTGAGGAAAAAATTGTTCAAAATACTTTCAATCGTGAATGTGGTTACTCGCTGGAGGCAGCTCGAGCTAAAGACTTAAAAAATGGGCAAGTGTAAAGATACTTGCAGCTGTCTATCAGTAAATATTTGATGCCAATATGGACCTACACTTACAAACACTATCTTAAGGCAGAGTAAAACATTTCAAAGTGCGGAAACACTTCGAAAATCACACGGATATAATTTTTGCTGTATTTTGGCGTGAATCAGGAGGAGAGAAATTCAACAAGAGTATATAACAATAATTTTTTTTCAGCATGAGTTATTACGCAGACTGAAATAAACATGACACACACACACACCTTTACAAACAAACTTGCTTGTGTTCAAATGTACTGGAAAGTTAGTGTTCCTTACACAAAAACTTGTGGGAAAAATTCTATACGGTTAGTGCCAAAGGCACACAAAGAGAATGGTACTGTTAGAGAGACGTTTCTACCACTCAAAGTTAAGTAAACACAGGGATCAGACGTTAAAAAAGATGTCTAACTCCGCTAAAATATGAGTGGGTCAGTGGCATGCAACATCGATCCATAAGGCATTTACAATTTTACAGGCATGCATCGCACACATTAACAAAAAAATAATCGTTTATCTGCGGTGGATTCCCGGTGTAGATTGTCTTCTTTTTTGTAAATGCGTCCAATGGAATACCAAAAGAAAAATTGCAGAACATGGAGGTGAAAAAAGAATTTTCACTGATGAATCACAAATACACTTTTGCGGTAGAAAAGTGCATTTGAGAACTGTGGTAATTTTAAAAAACTCATACTATCATTGACTTAGATTCAATTAAATTTAACGTCTTCTTGGACACAAATAAGTAATTTAGAGTGAAATGGGGACTATTTCTTCATCTGATTTTTAAAATGTATACCTTATCAAAACCTGCTAACTATGATGGGCTTCTGATTATATACAAAAAAAAAGTATAAATAAAAAAATAACAAAAAGTTGATAACACTTGGAAAAACAATTTAAATGTCAGGTAGCTAAAAAGTGCTTTTGACACCAAAGAGGGAGAAAGTGCAGAACTTTCAAGGAGGCCAAATCGGAAGGCACAAAAAATTTGACTATGGAGGGCATAAATGCTGCAACAGTGGAGTTATAGAAAACAGAGTACAGTTTTCCATGAGCAGGCCTGGAAACCAAAATTTATCAAATAGGAATTCAAGCACTTGCTTTTCATGGCTGTCATGATACAAAACGGATCTGTCGGCAAAAAACAATTTGAGAAATATTGTAGAATCTATAAGAGTGCTTTTATGAACTTGTAAAACTACCATTAAAGGGAGATCTGTTCATTTTAATGTCATCCATTTGGACTACATTTTGCAATTGGGTATGACTATTTCTGACTCTCAGTAAGAGCAACAACTGTGCCACTAATTTCTCTGGGCACATATGTGTTTTTATGAATAAGCCAGAAATAGTGGTCCCTTATTACAAAATGTTTTCCAGGGCTTCTGCCCTGCTGGCTACCTTTGAAATTTAAGTCAGTTTTTTCCAGTAACATTTTGGTATAATTTTTGAATTGATACTTAAAAAAAATGAAGGTACCGCTTATAAATGCTGTCTGCACTTCGTTTTGATATTAAAAATTCTACATTTAGATATAATAAAAAAATTTACGTGCAAAATGGACTGATCTTCCTCACTGCTGAGGCCTTTCTCAGGCAGACAGAGGAAAATCACAATAATACTTACAGATGAGTTACAATATATCATTTGAATAAAATAATAGATTTAAAATAGTAGTACAATGGGCCATAGATTAGTGGACATTCGAGATGAATAAATGCATGTCATTGATAGCTCTACTACTTGATTCGTTACAAAAAATAAAATAATAGAAAGAAATCTTAACATTTACTTCTGATAACTTATTTAGAGAATAAAAAAATTGGATAGCTCTATTAGAATGACACATGATGCAAATAGAGTCAACACCCCCCTTTAATTTTTTATGAATAAAAATCAAATAAAGCTCTTGTGCACAAGAGATACTGGAAGAAAATGATTATAAATTTATGTAGTAAGCCGGATAAGAAGCAGCTTGAATATTAACGGTGAAACTCTCGAGCTGTATAACTCATTTGCAGTGTTTCAAAATCATGCTTCCATCTTACTTTTTTAATGAAGAAGAAATCGACATTAGTCCTATAGGTTTTCACAGAATTTTCTTTGCTTCGAGAAAACCTATCACAGAAGTTTTTAAAAATTGACAATGAGCAGTTTTCTATTTAAAAAATAAAAGTATGATAGGAAGTCTACAAGTTGCAAACCAAGATACAAAGCTTGGGAGTTTCACCGTCAATGTTTATCAACTGATACAAAAGGATTACATCAAATTTGGCTATTATTGTAAATACTCAAGTACATGTTACCACCAAAAAGATTTGTCTTTAATGGCTGGGAGATTCAGATGCGAGATGGATAGAAAATAAGAATGGCATTACTTTTAACGTTCCATGGGATTCAATTAAATATTCGTTTTCAGTAAAAATACAGTTACATAATAAACTTTGAGGTAATGATACAATTTTGGATCGTCTTAGGAATTATTTTTGACCCTAGAATTCCGTAAAAATTTCCAGCCATCACTGGGAAAAACATGCACTGCGAATACGCCGCAGACAGGGAAACGCTATTAGGCAATTTTTATTAAGATATTTGAGCTACGAATGAGCCACTGCATTCTACCGAAAATCCTAGGCTCCTGATAATGGGCCTGTTGCAAACTTTTGCTAGAGCAAAACTAAGAGTTGTTTCTTATAGGTAATGCCTCAAAAATCACGATGAGCGCATCGGCAAACTCTGAAATGCACTCATAACTTCACAAACTGCGTAAGAAATTTGCGGTTTTTTGAGCTTCCCGCTTCAAAAACGATACTACGGCACAGGTGAACATTTTGTAAGAGGAGTCGTTCCATTGTCGGCAATAATCATCATAGCCGACGCCAATCCGCCAAAACACGTTTGATGGGACGAGATAACACCTGAACTGGATTAGACCAGATAACAATCGGTGTGTTAACGTTCATATTTTCCACGCCCGAATTGATTGACCTTGAACTCTCCTTGAATTACGCGCGGAACTGCGTGCAAGCGTCGGCCATGATGAATATCGCCGACGATGGAGCGACTCCTCTAACAAAATGTTCACCTATGCCGTAGTATCGTTTTTGAAGCGGGAAGCTTAAAAAAACGCAAATTTCTTACGCAGATTGTGAAGTTATGAGTGCATTTCAGACTTTGCCGATGCGCTCATCGTGATTTTTGAGGCATTATCTATAAGAAACAACTCTTATTTTTGCTCTAGGAAAAGTTTGCAACAGGCCCATTCTTGAAAATCGTTCACAAAGATAAAATTGAAAAGTCTCCTTTAATATTAATAATTAACATTTATCACGTGCTCACATCATAGAGGTTAATAGTCTAAGCCATAGTCTAGCCATAAGTGGATAATGTCGTCAAGCTATGTGAAAATGCTTGTTCATACTTTGTTGGGCTAAATTAAGGCAGCACGTTAAATAATTTCAAATTTTTTTCGTCGTACTAACATTATTATTTTTCATTTCTTTTTTATTTTTATATTTTTTTTCAAAATTTTCTTTGACTTAATTTTTGGAAAATAGGGTGCAAATGCTAGTGTTTTAAGCATCAGGCATGATGGTTTAACAGAAAAGCAATAAATGAATAATAATGAGGGAAATGGTGCAGGCGAGCAAGATGGCAAGACTATAATATTATTTTGACTGATCGGTTGTAAGCATATTTGTTAAAGGTTAAAAAGAAAAAAGGAATATTAAATATTAAAATAATATAGTTAATTCTGCAATTGTGATTGACGAACAACAACACAAGCGATACAAATCGGCGTGAGTGAATAAAAAAATAATACGGCATGATTCTCACTGAATTTGAGTTGCGCAGTGGACTTGGTGAACAAACCATCTGATTAAGAGCATTAATTCTCACTGATGATTAACAAATGGCTCAAGAGAAAGAGACAAAGCAGAGCTGGGTTACTAAAATCCATCCACTGTCATTTAGACACCTCTGTGGCTTCGTAACAGCTACTTGTACTGTTCGTGCTATCATCTCGAGAAATATTGCAGTTGACATTCGTTTCACTATCACTGATCGAGACTTTACTTTGGAGCGCTAAGATACTATCAGACTGAGATTGCGATAAACTACTCATAAGGGGTCTTCCAGGCGAAGCTGGTGCTGAGACCGATTTCTTTATTGTTTTTAAATTACTAGATGTTTTCACACCAACTTCCATCAGGATTTCGACTATTTTATCTGGGTATTCAAAATGCCCTCCTACGATTTTCGTCAGGTCTACATTATGCATTCGTCTGTCTTCCAATTTTATTGGCTGGAGACCAGCAACACCTCTGCGAGACAGAGACAGGGTCCTGTATAAAAACCGCAAAAGCCAATCACTGCGAGAATACCCGTTGACCAATTTACCCGCCACCACTCGCCGAAGTTTTGCCCAATCTGTACTGTTAGCTGTGCAAGGTGCTCCGATCAAGTACGCATCCTGCACAATGCCTTCACAATTACCACGCTCAGACATCTCTCTCAGACAATAGTATATAACTCGAGCTCCTAAGCTATAACCAACAAGTGTAATAGGTCTGAACCCGTGGGTCCTTGACAAAAGGATTTCTGCCAGTTGTTTTCCGACCTGGGCTGATCTTCGGCAGCAAACACCCCAAGGATTATCTATGATTGAGGATAATCCAATTAACCCAGCAGGCCACGCAATCGCGCTCATTATACCTGACAAAATTGTGTACTTGAGTGCTTCTTGCGTTGCAGCTGTAATTGCCATTGTGAGAAAATACTCCATAGCTTTACCGAGTTCAAGTAGGTACGAACTCTCGTATTTCAAGTAATACTGTTCTCGAGAGTTGAGGAGGTGCGCCCAAGGGCGGGAAAAATTGTCTTCGGCCTCATCCTTGAGCCAGCCGGTGATTGCGATCGTAATGTGTAACTGACTCTCCATGTCAGTGCTCAAGATGCTTTCTTTTGATCCGCTGGGTACGTTTTGGAGGCTTCTAAGTTGCTGGTTATTAGTGAGGTACTTGAATTCAAATTCTTCGATGTCGCCAACTCGCTTGTGCATTTTGAAACTGGTCAAACCAGCACCTGCTACACCGAAAAGTGATCCCACAACGGCTGCTCCTGCAGCTGAACCTAATGCTGTTAGGGCTGCTGATGTGCCTATCACTGTTCCTAGACCAGCACCTGTAAATGTAAAACATATTGGTAGATAAATAAAACCGACAAGGTTAAAATTTTGAGGTATTTTAGCCAAAGACATAAAGACGAAGGGCTAAAAGCAAAAAATGAAGCTCCTTTTGAACCATCTCTACTATTGGCTAGAGGATGTGCGGCGAAATCGGGGTAAGTTTGAAATTCAAATGAAGGGTGGGAACTAAATAAAATTGCGGAAACAAAGTATTCTAGGTTGATTTTTGCCCAAATTCACTTATCCACTCATATTTTTTTAACTTTAGGTTAGCTTTGGTCCGTCGTCGACCGATTAATTTCATTTGGGAGTAACGGTCATCTAGAACTGTAGCGGCCTGTTTGAATCTGCAGAACCACCATGAGCAGAAGAAAAACTAACTTTATCTGAGATTACTGCCTGTTACCGAGCAACAGTAGGTGTATTATGATAAGACGCAGTCCCAACCTTCTTGATTTATTCGTTTTAGGCATTTAAAATACGTTTCGAAGAAGAAATGTGGAAAAATCAAGAGGACAAGTTCAAATCAAATTTCCGTTTGCCGCCATGGATTCCCGCGCTCATTTACACACTCACACAAGCACCCAGCGCCAAACCAGGCTTCACTTTTTCCCCGTGCTTTTAGATACGAGCACTCCGTCTTTATGTCTTTGATTTTAGCCTATGGACTTCAGCGGTTTTTCTTTTCTATGAGCAAAATAATAAATGACAATTTCGAGCCATGAATTGGTTTTGGTCCACTTTTAAAAAACAAAACAGGAGCAGAGATTTTGAAACATTGTAACCAAGATAAGCATTTACAAAGTTTTACTATCTTTATGCACTATCCCATGTTGGCTTTCAGGAATGGATTTTAGATATTTCTGATGTTGTCAATCGCTTCTAAGAAAGAGCTTGATGCAAAAACGGCTTTTTTCACCCCCCTCTGGAATTTCTTCAGACTTTGTCTATTGATTACTCATACTTGAGCGCTTCTTTTCCCAAATTTTCAGACCCCCAAAAAATTTTGGGGGGAGCTAGGGGGGGTGGAAGTCAAAACCTGTGAACCTCGATATCTCTCGAACGAAGAAAGATATCGAGGTCCGGTTTGGACGAAAAATCGTCTAAAATTGCATACTTTATGATTCTAAAGGTCGAAATCCCGATATCACATTTTAAAGTCAACATATGTGCTTTCTTCCAGTTTTTAGGTCTAGAAGATTTCTTTTAAACGAAAAATTTACAAAGATCTCAATTTTTTATTCGAACCAAAACCAGATTTTTAAATTGTTCGTCTTTTTCCGCATCCAACGAGTGGTCCACTAAGCTGGGGAACCAAACGGTTCCGGAGTTATGATCCATTGAAGTTTCTGCTCAACGCGCGCCGACCGATTTTCGCGCGCAAGAAAGTCGGATTTGACTGTTATTAAATCAGATTGATTGTTCAAACTGAGCAAAATGCACTATTAGGGACTCTTGAGGGTCGCTGAGTTCAGAAATTATAGATACTTCCAAATAATTCACGTTTTTAAAATTACAGCTCCATACAGGACCACTGAGCGGCCGGTCGGCGCTCAGTGGGCCTCTAAAATAGCGCTACGGAGCTGTAATTTTAAAAACGTGAATTATTTGGAAGTATCTGTAATTTCTGAACTCAGCGACCCTCAAGAGTCCCTAATAGTGCATATTGCTCAGTTTGAACATTCAATCTGATTTAATAACAGTCAAATCCGACTTTCTTGCGCGCGAAAATCGGTCGGCGCGCGTTGAGCAGAAACTTCAATCGATCATAACTCCGGGACCATTTGGTTCCCCAGCTTAATGGACCACTCGTTGGATGCGGAAAAAGACGAACAATTTAAAAATTTGGTTTTGGTTCAAATAAAAAATTGAGATCTTTGTAAATTTTTCGTTTAAAAGAAATTTTCTAGACCTAAAAACTGGAAAAAAGCACATATGTTGACTTAAAAATGTGATATCGGGATTTCGACCTTTAGAATCTTAAAGTATGCAATTTTAGACGATTTTTCGTCCAAACCGGACCTCGATATCTTTCTTCGTTCGAGGGATATCGAGGTTCACAGGTTTTGACTTCCACCCCCCCTAGCTCCTCCCCAAAATTTTTTGGGGGTCTGAACATTTGGGAAAAGAAGCGCTCAAGTATGAGTAATCAATAGACAAAGTCTGAAGAAATTCCAGAGGGGGGCGAAAAAAGCCGTTTTTGCATCAAGCTCTTTCCCCTTTATAAAGTTTACTCATTTGGCTTCATGTCTTGTAAACAACGGACTCATTCACACCGATTAAGCAAAAAAAATCCTTTACCAATGAATGGTGCAGCTAGGCCTCCAGTTACACCTATCAAGGCACCACCTCCAATCCCGGCCAGGCCTATCATAGCGTAACGCTTAACTTTAGTCATCCTCTCTCGGGATTTAGCTCCTTGAATTTCTTCTCTGCAATATTGAAAAAAAAAATAAGTTAAGAATAAAAAATAAAATAGTATAAAATAATATAAAATAAGTTACTACAAAAACAATATTAAAAGTAATCAAAACCCATGACGAAAAGATCAAACGATGAGTGCAAACTGCATCAGTCACTCTAGCTGTCTGCTAAACCTATTTGTCAAAGGTGCAACAGTTATCCTAAATTTTTCAGATACCTGACATCTCTAAGTTTTTCAGATACCTGACATCTCTTTGCGGGAGAGATATTATAATGATACAAAAAAAGACAGAATTTTTAATAAATCTCGCTCACTTAATGGGAAAGATACTTACTGATAAAAACCCAAAATTTTTGACAGATGAATACTTTTATAAATTAATAGTCAAATATGTGAACCTACATTATTTGAAATCTTTCTGTTTGAGTAAAAAATCCTTTATGCACAATTTTCCTGCTTCACATCTAGCAATAATTTACTACATTTGATTTACCATAATATGCAGAATTTCAAAAAAATTTTTCAAGAGAACAGTGGACTACTAGACAAGGTTCTTTAAACACTATGAGATATGATTTTCCATCAAAATTTATGAAGAACATGATTTATGTTACAAAAAAAAATCGAGAGTAAGTCCTAATCAAGAATTAATACTTTTCCATTACTAGTTCAACCGCCGTGCTCATAAAAAAAAACCCATTATCCTCTTGAGGTGAATCTCACATTAAACATCTCCATAACAATCTCTGTGGTATAAAATATTGAAACATCCATTTTGATGCTTTGGCTCAACTATGACACATTTTTCACACTTCGAACAACACAAAGTGGGGAAGGAACACCCCTGGATTAAGAAGCCTGCCAAAACTATTGTAGTGCTCTCTTCAATTGACGTTGATACTGGTTCCGCTTTTAGGCGGAACATTTAAATTTTTCGTGACCAGTGCTACATAAAAACATTGATACCTCCAATACGCGTTGATTTCAGTCATTTTTACGACACAAATCGATTCTAAGGGGATCTTGAAGAGGAAACAAATATCAGAATACTTAGGTCTGTGCCTTGTTTAGTAGTTCATTAAGCAGATAAATACTTACTTTGATCGAACATGATCTTGCTTTAAATAGTAGACTATCGTACACTCCACAGAATCAACATAATCATCATCGAGATCGAAGTTTTCTGAGACATACTTCACCAGCACTCGCCACCTTGCATCATAAACTCCTGTTTAGGAAAAAAACATTTCCATTAAATGACAATTATATTTAGAATAAAAAATAAGAACATAAAAAGTTTTAACACACTGATTCTACCTGTAAAATTTTGAAAACATGAAAAGATTTATCAAGAGGAACAAATGCCATGCTGAACAAGGTTGGTGACTTTGACGATTTTAGCAGAAAAAACTTTGCACAGAAGAAAAAACAACTGTTAAAATTTCCTTCTTCTAACTTACAGAAAGGAAAATTTTTCTCCTGTTTGCACTTTTCCAGAGTTGCCATGGACAGTTGCCGGAGGCTTAAATGACAGAGCACTGGGCAGCAGCCAGCTAGGAGCCAGGTGACTTCTGACTTTTAAAATATTCATAGATCATTTGGGTACCTATGGTCCTACTTCCCTACGGATCTTTTTCACCATTTTTCTTAGTTATTTCGTAATTTCCTAGTATTTTTTATTCTAATTATACAATTTTCTCCTTGAATTGTGAGGCTGAATCAACAATTCTTGATTCTCTTTCAATGTAGACCGCGATTCCCTTTGTAAACAGGGTGTCCTTTTAACATCAAATGTTTTATTATTTCTTAACAAAGAGCATTTACCGCAGACAATCAGTAAAAAGTAGACTTCAAACACTTTTCAAGCATCTTCCAAAAATTCAAGTACTATTGAGGCCTTAAGAAAAAAAAAATTCAAAATTAAGGGCAGCAGTCAAGGTTACATGAAGCATGGTCAAAAAACAAAAATTATAGGAGACAATTATTTCTACTTGATTATCTCTTTGTTCTTATAATCCTTATAAATCAAGAAGTTGGTGGGTTAAATGGTGGTCCGGTGGTCCTCTATTTGGCAGCCACCTTCCACCACCGTTAGCTAAGAAAGACAATTCTATTTTCTATTTGTAAAATAGCATTGATATTTGTAATGAAAGAATTTTTTCAAAAATTAGAACTTATGAGAAGTCACTTGTCTATCGTTTCCTGAGCAAAAAGGAAATATGTACTCATACAAGTGGAGGAAAACTTGTTCCTGTAATATTTTTCTGCAAACAGAAATGCGACACCAGGAAGTGCTATTATTTTACAGAGAAATTCATAAAAAGAGGTGAGGCAGACAATTTTCAGTTTCATTGTCTTTGTCAGTTGAACCTACACCAATTTCAATTGAATTGGAAACAATCTATAGCTTTCATCTCCAACCTTCCTTCAGTAGACTTTTTAGACATTTAAGTTAGTATGATATGCATATTTGTTGATTAAAAATGAATTAAAGGAGTAATTATTTGCATTCTCTACATTTTCCTACAATTTCTTGTCATCATTTAACAGATATTTAGAACTGCTAATTACAGGCATGCCAAATGCAAGAGCCAAAAATATTGATTCTGAATTAGACTGATGTAAAAGCAAAAACATGGTAAGATTGCAAAATAGACTACATAGATAACTGAAAAATTACTGATGGAATTAAATAATGATCTTTTAGAAGTAATAAAAAACCAGGCAGGAAGAAAGGACCCTGCATACTCCTTATCAGGAGATTTCCAAGTCTTTTATTGCATTCAACTCGTCTATAGTTGCTGATCTAAAGTCATCGTTGCGCCAACTTTCTAGGAGGCACCATTTTTGCACAACCCGCAGTAGACGTCTCGATAAGTACTTGAATAAGTGAGGGCAGCACGGCGATGAATAGCTGGAGAAATCCTTCTATCTTTCAGCACTTTCTTACCTACCACTAGTAAAATTGCCACGCTGTCTTGTAGAAAGTTGGCGCAATGATCAGCATCCATAGTCGAGTTAAATGCAATGAAAAAATTGGAGATTGATCATAGTGCATATCCCCATAAGGAGTATGCAGGGTCCTTTAATGAAATCTAACGCACATTTAAGGGGATGTTAACTTCAACTTAACCTAATCATTGTGTCGACGGTATAGTGAGCATTATAAAATTAGCTAATTTAAGTATATGATGCTGGTGTTCAGAAAATGCCGAATCGCATGATTCTAGGATTGCAGCAAGTAAGAAGCAAATCTCACGTCATAAGGCAGTTTTAAAGAATGAAAACTTCTTTTCCCCCTCTCATTTCCTCAATACTTTAAAAAAGTGTGGCAAATTGCACTTGTTACCCAAAAATCGGGAATTTCCACGTAAAATTGGACAATCAGCAGTAGGGCGAGTCAGAGATATGGGCGTACGGTAAAAATGAAAGATCTCAAACGAATAGAATTTTGGAACTTTCTGCACTCTTGGTGTGCCATGCTCTAACGGAAAAACCCTAATCCATCCAGGCAGTGGATTTTTAATTTTAAGGCAGTCACTTTTAAAGGATAATCTCAATTCCTAGGAAAATTGTAAAAATTTCTAAAATCAACAAACGATTTGAAAAGCGTTCTACACTTTGTAGAATTAAAATGGTTTGTCATCGAAAAAACAAAGGATGTCAAAGAATTTTATTTTCTCCTTCAATGATAAAAATGATCTAAATGAACTATCTTCATTTCTTCTGCTTTTCAGGACCACTGGTTATGTGGTAAAAAACCTCTGTGTAAATCTGAAATTGATGGGCAAGTTGTTGGATCTACAACAATTTGACTGATGAGGAGTTGACTTTCATGGCCTACAATCTTAGAGCATGCAATTAAAAATGAGATTATTCATGTACTAATGATTTCTAGGGCTTAAAAGGAGTTCTTGCGTGCAAAAGGGTTTTGCAATTGAATTATATAACCTATCTCAAGAGTAAAATTTTACTGAAAACACACTGGTATTGCTTGCTTTCTCAAAAGCTAACTCCCAAGCTCAAAAAAGAAATCTTCCCAGCATGCAAGAACTCTCTCGGATGGATTTAACTGGGATCAACCTAACTACATTAGATGCTTTCTGCCATCATGCGATACAGTAGGGCTGACTCTGGTTGAAACTTTCCAGTTAAAATCAAGCATTTTCAGTTTTCAAAATAAAAAAATTAATAAATGAAATAAAATTACAAGGCACATTTAAAAGAATGAACATAATAAGATGAGTATGAATAACTCCTTGCAGCCGCTGATTTTCTCTGGATGAAAGGCGCTTTAAGTCTCCGTTTTCTCAGTTTTTGAGTGTTGTCCAGACGCTAACAATTACCACTAGACAAAGACAACTACTCCTAACAATGAACATGCTCAATCAATTCATCAATTCACATCATCTTACCAGTGAGAATTCCTAGGAAAGCAGGTTGAAATTAAATAACACTTTTTAATAGCTCAAAAAAAGCATTACGAAAATGTTTATTTTATTTCAGGACTTGCTTTTTTCTGAAAAATGGAGATACGCTTTAGCATCTTGTACAGTAAAAACAATTTTGTTTCAAACAAACAACAAGGTCGAGAACTCAGGATACCTAGTTCAGGAATAAGTAAACAGGCAGTCTATTGAGAAAAGAGCAAAATGTGAACACAGTTAGTAGCTAATTTCCACATTTTCTTCAAGTTGCTGTTCAGAGGCACAAATTAATGTCTCGGTTCCAAAAGTGTGGTACAAAAAAGTGGAGGCAAAATTTGGTTAAAAGTAAGAAGGGCTCAACACTTCCAAAAGGTTCTATAATTGATCAAAATTGACCAGAATGGCCTGTAAAATTTTGACTTATTAATAGGGGAAGAGGCAATCGACTCCCATTGTCATCCCTAAATGATGCTTCTGTGAAGTACTTGCCCCAGAATCCCTTCAAAAGTGATTTTTTTGTAAAAAAATAATATGCTACATAGATACCGAACTTGATCAAATTCATTTCCTCAAAACAGTTCAATCTCCAAGTTGAGCACTTTTATGGACGTACAAACGACTAACAGTGAACAACCAGCCTCTCTTTTCACAGTGCTTCCAAAAGAAATAAAATATCCAAAATATAGTTACCATCAGCCACCGCTAGCTCAATCAGGGTGTGTATTAAGACAGCCAGATTGTTTCGAATAAGTGGTTCTTCTTTTAAAAGTGATACATACGGCTCTATTTTCATGCCTGTGTCGGTGTTCATAATCTCGATCATCGTACCACATGTCTGGAAAAATCAAACCAAGCGCTGATGACAAAAGTATTTAAAGCTTAAGCATTTAGGTTCACCATTTCTTGCTGTAAAATATGACAAAGATTTTTGGTTTTGGGGTAATGCTGAGAGCTTTGAGTGTCTTCTTGGTGACAAGAGACAATTCTCATGAAATTATAGTGGTTCAGATGATCCAATGACTGAAGGATTTTGAGTCAGAACGACAGACTGAATGAATGAATTAGCTCTTAGTTTACAGCAGCTATTATTCTCACTAGATTTTGAAATCGCAATTCTGTTGTCACGAGATTAGAGAATTTTCACAACATATTTGATAAACACCTTAAGAGAAAAATAGGCAGGGTTATATAAATATATGGCATTTGACTGCAATTTTGATACCAGAATCAAACGCAATATTTCTTCTCCAAAAAATCCTGCCTATAATATGCTGAACTTGTTCACAAAATTCAGTCTTGTGACGAGAAACAATCGATCTCAAAATTTAGTAAGAATTACAGCTGAAAGCACACAGCTAATTCGCATGTCAATCTGACTCAAAATTTTTCATCGAATCACCTTAAACGCAAATCAAGTGAGCCTACATGACATTTTTCCAGTTACCAGTCAACACATGACTTTTAATTCGGCTGCACACTAAAAATAATTAAGCTGTAGAGTCGTATCACTTGATATGCAATTTGCCACAGCGCTATCCAAAAAAAAAAAAAAATAACTGAGTTGGATGGGGGAAAAAAAAAGGGGAATAATTGCATGTTTACACATATATTCTCAAAAATTCCAGGAAAGAAAGGGGGAAAAAATGGTTAGCAAATAGATAATTTTGACAGTTGCACGGATACAAATTGAAGTTAAGAGTTGTTGCCCAACTGTTTAATATTTAATACACATTATGGTGCGACTACCTTTTCCTCCATTCACTGGGGTGAAATAAAAAATCCTCCAACCTCCCTTCATTGAAGGAGGTAATCTTTTTGTCACACTAAAAATATTTTTGACTACAAATAAGTATTTATTGTTCTTATATGTATTATATATATAAACAGTCGCTCATACAATGCACTCTGGCATTCTGCGACACCCAAATGCCACATATGCCTGTCCTCACAGAGGTTATCAGGCAACTGACACTGCAACATCTCTTTGTCAACGCCCTGCCGCCAACCCTTTGCGGGATGTCCCCGTTGCCACTTCCCAGGTGGTACCCAATCAAAGACTTGCTTGGGCAACCTCTCCTCCAACATTCTTTGCACATGTCCATACCAGCATAATGGGCCTGTTGCAAACTTTTGCTAGAGCAAAAATAAGAGTTGTTTCTTATAGATAATGCCTCAGAAATCACGATGAGCGCATCGGCAAAGTCTAAAATGCACTCATAACTTCACAATCTGCGTAAGAAATTTGCGTTTTTTTAAGCTTCCCGCTTCAAAAACGATACTACGGCACAGGTGAACATTTTGTTAGAGGAGTCGCTCCATCGTCGGCGATATTCATAATGGCCGACACTTGCGCGCAGTTTTGCGCGTAATTCGAGGAGAGTTCAAGGTCAATCAATGCGGGCGTGGAAAACATGAACGTTAAAACACGCCGATTGTTATCTGGTCTAATCCAGTTCAGGTATTATCTCGTCCCATCACACGTGTTTTGGCGGATTGGCGTCGGCCATGATGAGTATTGCCGATGATGAGTATTGCCGATGATGGAACGACTCCTCTTACAAAAGGTTCACCTGTGCCGTAGTATCGCTTTTGAAGCGGGAAGCTCAAAAAACCGCAAATTTCTTACGCAGACTGTGAAGTTATGAGTGCATTTCAGACTTTGCCAATGCGCTCATCGTGATTTTTGAGGCATTATCTATGAGAGACAACTCTTATTTTTGCTCTAGCAAAAGTTTGCAACAGGCCCATTGTCTGGACATGTAATTGTGCACGATAACTTTTTCAACCTTCATCACCTGGCAAATTTTCTCATTACGGACATAGTCTCGTCTCGAAATGCGAGCAGATCGCCAACAAAAATCAATTTCAGTTGCCTTCAACATTTCTTGCGTTCTTTACGTTAAAGGCCACACTTCACTACCATAGAGCACGATACTATTAACAATGGCGTCAAATATTTGGTGCTTGTTTGCCTTTCCGTTCAGCATGGCAATGTATTGTTCTTTTATAAAAATGAATTTAAATAAGTGGTTCTTCATTGTCAAAAAACAGAAAACCAATGAAAGATTTTGCGATTTTAATGCAACTCTGGACTAGCCAGAAGCGAATCAAAAAGTACAAGAAGATTACAATTTTGTTTCTCGACAAAATTATGATTATATTACAATCAGGTGTACTGTGACACAATAAAATTACACCCTCTCATGATACAATCGTAATACAATCATAGAGACCCATGTTACTTGAGATTAATAGATAATTCATAAATACTTACTTGTTGAGGTAATTTTAAGAAGTCCAACAGTTTTTTCAAACATTTTTCGTTGAAAGGTTGGTCCCAATCGTTGTTAAAAAGATGATTCAAAGCCAAGGCACAGACAGCCGCAAAGGAGTAGCGAGCTGCATCGGATAGATTATCTAGCACAGCCAGTTCACTCATTCCTCACTACAGCATAGCTCCAAAACCCTAAAAAGAAAAAAGTAATAAGTTAAGTAGCAAGTTTGTAGATTGACTTCGCTCCCTAAACACCTGATACAGCCAGGGCAGACTTTCGAATAAAAAAAACTATTGCCCGCTCCCTTCCCAAATTTTCAGAGTGATAACATCTTCAAATCTTTTATTCCCAAGTGGGGTTAAGTAAGTGGCAAAATGATTCCTAGCAGCACAAATACGCCTAAGAGGCCAATCTTCCCATTTTCAAAACCTGTTCTGGTGGGTAGTTAGTTGGTCCTTCGGTCAAGAAGTTTCGGCACCCCTGAGTACCTACTCAAGCAGTCAACTCATGTGTCGCCAAATAATTTCTGTATCAAGCTAACTTCACGGACAGAAATTGGAATATCTTCATTGTAGGTTCTGTCATCTACCATGACTCCCAGAAATCAGAAGATCATTGTTCCAGAATTTTTGAGTAGATCTTGAATCCTTCAGGTACAAACTGATGCTTTCTTGTTTCTTATTAATTGGATGTTGATGTGATAAAAATTAGGTTACAAGAATTGAATGCAGTACCAGGGATTTAGAGCTGAGGTTTGAGGGAGCATCATAAACGGAGCCGCATCGGCGCGCGAGGCGGAGGCCCGGCGCGGACTTTCATGCCGCTTCGATCAGTGCGCCGGGGGAGCGCATATGCCGTTGAGGCGGCTTCACCTGGTGAAGCCGACTCCCGGCTCCTTTTCTGATGCTGCATCAGTTTTGATGCTGAGTCCAGCATCAAAATTAGCGGCTTCAATTAGCAGACGCGTCGGACGCCAGCGCCCCGGCGTGGGCCACCGCGCCAATGGGAAACGTAAACAAAGGGGTGTTCCGCGAATTCATCACCGAGTCCGAGGGTCGCGGTCTTCTGGGACAGCCCCGTCGGTGATTAAGCTGGGTGGCGGGTCCGAAAATTGAGGCCGTATCGGGCCGCAAGCCGACGGTCCGGCCTCAGAGGCTGAGGCCCATGTTGGTCCCTGAGCCAGCATCAAACCTCAGCATCAGCGCTTGAGGCTGGCTCGGTCGGCTCTCCAGCATCGGGCTTCAATGCCCGAAGCCGGCGGCCGGCAGGTTGAGCGCATCAGGCTCGGAGCCGTATGCCCGAACGGCCGCTACCTGGGCATACGGCATTGATGCTGAAGCTACGAGTCGATGCTGTACAGCATAACCTCATGAGGCGCCTCAAATGCCTGTGCGGTACCCACGTGCATGAATTGTCTGGTTGGATGAAATGCAAAGAAGCAAGAGCTATCAAAGATAAGAGGGTATTTCTAAAAAGAATGATTGACTGTCAAATTTACTGCCATTGGAAAAGAGATTTGACAGTTGTACTAGTCAGCATTACTGTGCATTCAACTATGATATTTTCCTAAATGTTTGTTTAGGAGATAAAACAGTTTGGACTAGGTAATTAGGCGATAACTGTCCGGCAGGCGTAAATTTTTTTTGGCATTGCAGGGTTGTGAGACACTTCTGTCTATACATAGACATTCAGTAACAGATAGAAGACGACCATTTATGTGAGAAACGCATTTACACGATAAACACTAACTTTGGTCAATTAAGAATAATATGACAGAGAAATACAAGCTGCAGCGATTTCTATATCGAACTGCATGAAAACTTGGCAAAAAGGGAAGAAACCTGCTTCACTCACTTCATGGAGCCTCCAACAGAAAAGATCCTTAGAATTACTGAGACTTCGACCAAAAAAAAATTATTCAATTCAGATGAGAGCTTAAGTATCAGTATGTCCGATCCAACACTACTGCAAATCAGACCAATTCACTTTACACTTACAGACATTAATCGAATTGAATATTCGGAATTTGTCCGCAAAGGAAGCGGCAGTTAATTCAAAAGCTCATAAAAACAAACCTTCAAGGTGAAGAACACGGCGGACCGATTAAAAGGTGCAAGAAAAAAAGAGATCACAAAAAATGAGAACAACTATCATTGCCTTCAAGTCAGCTGTCACAGTTCATACGATTTGAAGCACCGATTGAATTGGGATGAATTCTAGGTAGGCGGAAAATTAAAATATCAAAAGGACACGCTTATATTCTAATTAGGACCCGTAGTAACAACGACAAAACGTTCCAAAATGTAAAATATGGTTGGACATTTTTGATAAGGAAATATTTTGCAAAACAAAACCAGAGACGGTGCAATCGGTTTTTGCTTCCTGCCGAGATGCGGCAGACGACAAGCAACGTACACCAAGTCGGCGGGAAATTCAAAATTCACCCGCTGAATGCGAATTACGCAACTGCGCGCAAGTACCCGCAGCGCACTATGGTCCAAAACTCAAGTATAGGAAGAAATAAGTCGGATTATGACTGAAAGATCACGAAAGTTTCGTATCAGCTGTTTTTTGAGTAATTTCGAATTTGATGTCAATTGCCTACACTTTGACACCTTGACCTACAAATTGTGGGCAAGTTTATGGCACAATACGGCGCGGCGTGCTGCCAGCTCGAACCACGTATTGACGCCTACAAACCTAAGGGGATACTTCAAGCATTGCGCAATGCGTGAGGTAGCCCCTTAGGTTTGAAGGCGTCAGTGCGTGTTTCGTACTGGCAGCACGCCACGCAGCGTTCCCGACGGGCGGGTGGAGAAACGATTTCTTGGGGGGAGAGCTCCCTTGCGGAGAAACTCGTATATTGCATAATTTTTTTGTTTAATTTTCGACTTTTAAAAACAAACACTGGTCGTGTGAAGTAATTAGTGAACTCTCAACGCTAAATGAAGTGTATTAGTGAAAGGCGGGTCGTGCGCCATGCGTGCTGCGGACGGCTTCTGAAATTCTCTCCTGTGCTCTATCGGCGCTTTGGCCGTCGATGAGTTTTGGATTTTCTAGGTTTCTCTCCAGTTTACACATGCGGACGAGCATGTCTATGGTGAAACTGTAAAAGAGCGTATCTTGCTATCTCGGTTGCGATAACTCAAAATCCCCGCCTATATTCCATTTTATTAAACGAGGTCAAACCAATATCATGGCTTAAAATTTCCACAGATTCTTCACAGACAGCGGAAAATTTAGCGAAATTTTGAAGAAAAGTAGTTTCGTAATTTAAGTGTGACGAGAAGATTGCAATTTTGAGATACGCACTTCTGCAGGTTCACCATCGATGAGTACATCTACAACTGCCCAAATTGTCTTTTGAAGTCCCTAAGTGTCTGCCTTTTGAACCAACGAGATCAGTAACGAGTTATAAATGATCGATTGTCGATTTTTCTCCATTTGAAGCTGTGGAGAAAATTCGATTAATAAGGTGTTCGTTGCGAACACCCTGTCTATCGATTCTTTTTCATAAGTTTAAATTGCAGATCAATCGATGTATCGCAAAGCACGCCACGCCTTCGAACGAAATGAAGACTTCGATTGATGACGCTAAAAAAAAGCTGCTTGACTCGAGTAGGTATGACTACTCTTGAAGTTACGGCCAGAAATTTTTTTTGTGCTGAGCTAGCCGGAATGTCTCCAGGAACAATGAAAAAATCATGTTAAGCAAAAAATAGCTTAGACGGAGCGGCATCATTCTAGATTCAAGAAGAAACGTTCTTTGATGGCAAACTTAAGACTTAAGTTTTTTCCATGTATGTATGTCGCAGGCAAATAGTGATAACAGGCATTTTGTCAAATGCCTCGGCAGATAGTTAAATTTTGACGGTTTACAAAATTTTGTGGGTTTACAAAATTTTGTGAATTCATGGCAAGAGCAGGGGCGGACTGGCCATGGGGGCGGGGAGGCGATCGCCCCTAACAATTTGCCGCAGAGGTCCCTTAGGGGCCCCCGCGCCGAGTTTTTTTCGAGTCATCGTTTTTTTCCCGTAATGTTGTAATCTTCTTATACTTTTCAATCACTAAAAGGCCCCGAATTCCTTGAAAATTTGTCTCTAAGAGACATGGAAGGTCGCCAAAAGCATTTGTGATGAAAGGGACCCCCGATGAATCCTGAGAATGGGTTATTTAGAAGCTCAAGTACTGTAGATTCCAACTCCAATAATGCCTACGTGTTTAAAAAGTGTGAAATATTCAAACTTTACCGGGGGCGGGCCCCCGGGCCTTTTTATAGGGGCCCCCGAACGACAGGAGGGGCCCTTACATTTAGGTCTCCTCCTAACTTTTCCATTACCAGTCCGCCCCTGGGCAAGAGCTCGCGAGTTTTCAATGTTTTTGGAAGAGTAGGTAACTCATGAAACCTGAGACCTCTTTGTGTCTGTTCCTCTTCAATATTGCTTCTCACATTTTCAAATGTTGAAATTCCGAAAACTCTGTATTTTATGACATGCTTAACATTTCACGATAAATGGCTAGTTAGAAGCTAAAACTTGTTTAAAATAACATTGTGTGATGCAAATTTTTACTGAGAATTTTTTTCTCACATGGGCAATGAATTATCTTGTATAAAGTTAGGAAAATAACCAAAATTCAAACCAAGTTGGAATATTTGACTATTTGCCTGGGCATTTGACAAAATGCCTGATTTCACTATTTGCCTGCGACATATGTTTCATGATTGGCAGAACAAAATTCGAGGATAATGTCAAACGGGTCCAACTCCATTTGCCTGCGGCACACTATCAGAATACTCCGTCAAAAATGTCGAGGTCAAGTGCTGTGGTTGGTCGAATAAGCCAATCACATCACCTGCATCTTGATATTTCGATGGAGTATTTTGATAGTGTGACACAAGCTATTGCCGTGTCGCAGAGTTTCATTCAACAGCTTAAAAATGTACTAATTTGTTACCATTCACAGGAAACGGGACCGCAAATCCACGAACATGAGAACTTCAGGTATTGAAGCGAAGCGTGCTTTGACGAACTATTTGGGACGAAAAACGCCCAATGGACCACTAGACAAGGTACGAATTTAAGCGATCTGATACATGTTTCTTAACCAGAATTTCACGTAGAAAACGATTCACACAACGAAAATTACGGAAACCAACTCCTAACGAAGATATTAACGTTTTTATTTCACATTGGTTACGAGGAATTTGAACTGCCCTCCGACAAGAAACTCATAACTCTACGTGAGTCAAATCGCCCACTACAACGGTTTCAGCAAGCTTCTCAATATCGAGCAATGTTCATTTTCCATCATGTGTTGTTCAAACTATTAGCAATTTGCTATAACTGAGCCAAAGCGTCAAGATTGAGGTTGCCAGATTTTTATATCGCAGAGACCGTCATGATAACGTTTAGCGCGCGATGTGAATCACGTAGACTATTGAGTTTTCATGAGCGGGTGGTTTGAATTCACGCATTAAGAATCATTAAATATCTTCGTGAGGAGTTAATTTCGGTCATTTTCGTTGTGTGCATCGTGTTTTACGTAAAATTTTGGTTAAGAAACATGTATCAGAATGCTGAAATTCGTACCTTATCTAGTGGTCCATTGTCAAACTAAACCAGAATTGAGGCGGATTGAAGTTAGCTGTGTATGGTTCTGATCCTCAAAATTCATGTTTGTCCATTGCCTGATATCACCAGATTATAATGCATATATTCGTGCTTTCCATGGGCACTCAAGTGAACAAAACCGCTGGAAATTCATTACCAGAACAATAAAGCGACAACTCCCAGTCGAAGGTCGATTTTTCGATCCAAGCAGACAAATATCGTTCCTCCATGGATAAGGTCCCGTTTATCGTACCTACTTAAAGGCGGGTGCATAATTTAAATCGAAAACTCCACATGTTAAAGGAAAAGTGCAGCCCTTCTTGAGTAAAGAAATGAATTGTCAGCCTGACTAATTCAAATGAACGTACCCAAGTAGGAAGCCCGGATAGCAAAAGAATAATTATTATTGCCTCTGTATCGAACTGTTCTGTATGTTGCCTACTCACTAAATAAAGGCGCTCCTTTCCTTGAAGCTTATCCCAATACATAGATATAAACTGCAATTCATTATTGGCATTGCAAATTACCTTCTTTCCTCACTTTTGAAACTTATTTTATTCATACAATAAAATCGGCATATTATATTGATCAAATTATTTGAAAGTATTTTCATGACAGAAATTGCAATTTCAGCCCACTAAATTGCAAAATTATTCCAATATCCTCGATACATTGCGCTACTTGGGCAAGGTCGTAACCTTTGGGAAGAAAAGAAAAGATGCGCTTGAGGTAAAATTAAACTTTTATTCATAAAATTGAGTTCATTTTAACATAAACATCACTGTAAAACAAAGCCAACTTCCAGCTGGAGCCTCACAAAAATAAAGTATAGGAATCATATAAAAATAAAACCTCAACTCAAATTAGACATATAAAAATATGAAAACATCAGGGCATTTGGCGCTAGCTGTGGCTTTCAAGGGAAATCAAATCTGTATGAACCTGGTGACTAAATTCATTTGAGGTTTTGTCATCTCACTTTGAAAGTTTGGTATTCAACTTACGAGGGGTATTCGTAAAGTAAGTCGATACTTGTCATAACTTCTAAACTAATGATACCTAACTCTTTGAAAACTGATGTTACTCTGCACCCGGAAACCAAATTTTAAAAACTGTAACTTCTGAAAACGCTGGAGGTATGACAATTCAAACGCTTTTTACAAAAACGATCTTCATTAGTTTAGAAGATATGATAGATATTAACTTACTTTATGAATACGCCTCGTGATTACCGCTCTTCACATTTGATTTTATTGGATGAACTAAGAATGCGACCGTTTAATTTTACTTAATGGGTGCTTCAAAGTAGGTGACAATAAACAAAAATTTAGGGAAATGGTATTGACCACAATCGTATCAAATGAGAAATTCTGGTGGGATCGGATCAACACACACACAATTGGAACGTTTTATCCAAACAATAAAAATAAAAAAAAAAGACAGAGAGACATTAGCTGTTTAAAAATTTTGGGTAGTTTATTTTTCTATGAGAAGAAGACGGTTGCACTGATTTTTTTGGGAGTTTCGATTGATGTCTTCTATACTATAAAGTAACTGGATGAAAGAATTGGTCAAACTGTTCTCTTGAAAAAACTAGACTATACGATTGAATTTAGCAACAATAACTGATGTTCCTAAGTTACCTATCGAGAAATAACGCTAAATTATGTGGCAGGTAACTACATCAACTGCTCATAAAGTGAACTGAACTCTCAACCAGAGGTAACAAA